TTAGAGGTATTACGTTTCCACGACAAGCTCAACTTCCTACGTAAAGAGCTCATTGAGGACGGAGTGGGTGGTTCTTCCGGATCGGAGATTGGCGGCGTGGGTGACTTTGCTTTCACAGGCCGCTGGGCACGAGGGCCAGAGGGCTTCTGCGGCGGCTTCACTTCGAGTGGTTCCGTAATATTCCCAAGGTCACCGGTCTGTGACCTTTTCAAGAAAGCGGGATCCGCGCCGGGCTTAGGCACGGAGGAGGACAGGAACGGAGACACGCTGGGCTTCCTAGTCGCTTTATAAGGTACCGGTATCGGCACTCCCGCGAAAGATTCGGACGAGCTTGTGCCGTCTGCGCCGGATGCACTGTCAATCCGGGAGTGGTGTACAGTGCTGCTGCTTCGCAAATTGGGAAAGTCAGACTTATCGTCCTGCCGATTCCTTGAGAAAAAGGAGCTTTTTGACGCGGTCATGGGGGTGGTTGGCGTTTTTGCGATGATACGCGAGGGAGGTGGGCTTAGGTTTCTGTCGGATCCATCTTGGCCCAAAGCTGCAATCTTCGCGGTCGTCGATGGGTTCAGCGGGCCGACAGTAATTGGGGGCAGCCGCACGGGTGGAGGGTTCTTTCTCGATTGGGTAGCGTTCCCCTTCTTGTCAGCATCCAAGGGGGCTGCATTCGTCGACTTCCGGGTACTAGCTTTTGGTGCAACCTTGACAGCAGGTTCGGGGAGCGATGGTATGGAGAAGCTACCAGTCGAGTTGCTGTTGATGCTGCTAGCATCGGCTGCAAGATTGACTTTGCGCTTGTCCAAAAACGATGCCTCGGTGGCCGACTGCTGTGGTGATTCGTACGCTTTCGGAATAGCAGGTACAGGTGGAACGTCCTCCTCGTCATCGGCGGAATGGGAGTTATGGTTATGCGGGTTCGACGACTTGGGTGCGGGTAGCCGCGACGTAGCTCCTCCAGCGACAGGCGCTCGAGGTTGAATTGAGCCTGTTGAGGTTCTCACTGTATTAAAACTGTTTGTTGAGGTGATGGAGAGGCCGGAGCTGTATGATTTTCTATTGATGTCCGGGGTTGTTCGGGAAGATGATGGCGTTGCAGATGTCTTCCGCGGTATCATTGATGGAGATCTAGAGTGCTCTCGATGCTCGAGCGGCGGTGGTGGCGGCGCGTTGGCCGCCTGGTTGAGACTCGGAGTCTGGTGCATGGACATGCGCTTCAATCTTCGCGTGTCCGTAGGACTGATGGTCCTGGCACCAAGTCCGCTTGCGTGTGATGCATGCTGCCCCCCGGGCATCATAGATTGCCTTTTTGACTGGGCCGAACCGTTATTATTCCCTTTGCTACCGCCTCGAGGGGATCTCGGAGAAATCGTCGAAAGACGGGTATTATCTGGCGTTGATAAGTTGGCAGTGTTTGATCGGGGAAGTGGCTGGTGCATCGATTTGGCTTTCGTCGCTCTGCTGTTGGCAAGATTCCGCGGAGTCTCGAATCCCATGCCGGCACCGGCATCCACCGAGGTCCGAGAGAAATCCGTTCCACTGCCAGCGGTGCCCATCAGGCTCGGTCTTCTACGTTGAGCAGTGTTACTGCCAAAGTCCGTTTCGATGACGCCAGGGCCGATGGATTTCCTCGGGGGCTTCGCGATGTTGGTGTTTGATACTGGCGGGTAGTGGCTTTGTCGTCGAGACCTCGCTGCGGAAGGGCCCGTTGACACATCTGCAGCGGACGAAGGCCCAGAAGCGATGGATGAGATGCTTGGCTGCCTGCTGGACGTGCTAGGTCTTCTCAGGATTGAACCAGATCTCCCCGGACGAGTGACGGGAGGTGGGATTCCAACGCGCGCAGACGCGCCATTCTGGGATATATTTGAGACCCCGCCCATCTTGTCGGTCATGCTCCCCGAGTCCAGAATACCACCTTGACCGGTCGGTTTCGGGAATTGGGTCAATTTGAAGTCGTGCGAGGCAGACTCGAGACTGCTCTGGAGGTCGTCGAAGCTGACCGAGGGTAAAAAATCATAAGAAGGTGTCGAGTCTCCTACTTCGTTCGCGGCGCCATTCCGACCAAAAGAAAAAAGAGGGTGGTTATTGGGTGAAGATGCACTGAGCATTGGACCGCCGGCGAGTGAGCCCTTTGAGGGAGAGTCGGTTTGCGAGTCTGGGATTCCCCTATTACTGCAGCTTTCATCGGGTCAGCTCTCTGTACTTGTCCAGGGATGCATGGGTCAGGCACAACAAAGCGGCGTGAACCGCAATGAAGGATGAGGGTAAAAGGGGGGGGGCGGTTGACATACAATCTGGTCGGGGACTGGTTCGCCGGTCGTGGGCCAGCAGGTATTCTATGCTCCCTTATCATGTGTACGCGGTGCAACGGCCAGCGCGCAGATCATGCGAGCGTTGGACGTGATGTACGTGAAGGCGAGAGCGGTGGAATGTTTCGAGGGTGGATAACGTCGAATCAAGTCGATATTGTCGACACAACGGCGCTGGAGGTCGAATTCGCGATGCGAGTAAGCTCAGTCCTGTCAGGGAGCTGAGGGTATTGGAGGAGCTACCTCATTCCGGGACAAGACAGGACGACAAAGGGCGAATGAATGAGGGTCGGCGGTGTTTGGGCGACAGAAGGGACAGGATTGAAGATGCGAGGATTGGCGTTGGTCGAAAGGAGGCGGGCACGGGAGGCGTAACCACCAAACTCGGCCTACGGTGAGGTAGGAGTGAGGTTGGAGAGGGCCGGTGCAGAGACGAGTAGGAAGACAACGACTGCGACTGGGCCGGGCTCTCTCTCTGTCTCTCTCTCTGGCTGTGTCTACTGGTTGTTTTTGTTCGAGAAAGAAGGACCCGCCGCTTAGGTTGTCAGTGTGGTGGTAGGCGGGCAGGTCACGACCAGGGTGGTGGAGCGTGCAGTGGATGGATGGAGCACTAGGGAGAGCACTGGAGCCTCTTGAGTTTTTTGTCTTTTTTCCTCGTCGTTTCCCGACCCCCGTCAAAAGGGTACGAAGATGCGAATGGGAGGCGTGCAGCCGTGTGGAGGAGAGGCGGGCAGAAAGTGGACTTGTCATTTGAGGTAAACGGCAGCGGCAGCGGCAGAATGAGAGCAGGTACCTCCTGGCTAACTTAGTCTGAACGGGGATTCTAGAGTGCGAGGTCAGGCAGAGAGTCCGCAAGTTTGAAGTACCTTACGACGCAGAGGCACGAGATGCCCAAGGTGAGGTACCTCAGCTTACTTACCTTGCGGCAGCTATGTTAGGTAAGGCACATTGGCTAATCAACCACCCGACACATTCAGTCATCCCGTCCCGTCAGGTCGTCAGTCACCTAAGTACCTTACGCAAATACCTATCAACGAAGCCAAAGTGTCTAAGAGGGTGGTGGCCGCGACGGCCTCGGGACCATTCTCTGAGAATCTGCCATGCGCGGCGCGCCTCACGACTGCTGGTACCTGTAAGTGAGAGGGGAGTCCAGGGAGTTAATCCGTAAGGCAAGGAACTATTCAGGAACACACACTACTTTGCATGCACTACTCCGTGCAGCTGCAGCAGCCAGCAGGTCGGCCCTTTCTAGCGGCTTAGGCAAGCCGCAAATGACGGGGGGGAAACATCCACCCAAGTCGAAATGGGGGGGCCTGGAGGAGAAAAACAAAATGTGGCGGCAGGTGATGATAGAGTCCCTGGGCCAAGGGCCATGGTGCCCGCCCATGAGTGTGAGCGAAAAAAAAGGGTGGTGGTCGGTGCAGTGCCCGCCGGCCCCGCACCCACATTTTGGCAAGAGAGAACGAAAGGGAGGTCGGGGACCGCTCTACTAACAGGGATCACCTGTTGATTGCACGAATTGCGCCAGTTCCTGGTCAGTGAGATAATTAGATACCTTGGGGCACGAGTAGATTAGGTACATACCTAGGTACCTTGCATTGCAATTTGCCTACCTGCAAAAGGAACAGATGCTTTGTAACTCGAAGTTACGAAAGAGTGCTGTGTAAGGTACCTGCGGTAGGAGCAGCGTCTCTCCTTCTCCTTGGGTTGGGACTCTCGCCAACTCGCATCTAGAGAGGCAAGAACAACAATATCTCAGATAGCCAGTTCCTATATTGCCTTTCCTTATCTCGACTTACCCTACCTTACCCTGCCTTACACTACCTTACCTTATCCGTACCTTACCTTACTTTACCTTACGGAGTGCTTCGTACCCATGGCAGCGGGGTTCGTACCTCACACCGCATTCCCGTGGAAGGAACTCTCAAAACCGTCAGGTCGGTGTGATCAAATGGAACCCGTTAAGTCTAATAGCGCGCTTTGCGCCCCCTCCTATTCCCCTCTCCTCGGGCCCTTGATCAAATGGCCGCTAAAAACCCTCGACAAGATGAGGTAAATCTTGTGGTCTGGGCGGATACCAACCTTGGGACCCCGAATCCATCGCATCTCTCCAGATCGTATTCTCCCATGTAGCAATCCGGCACCATTTCCATCCATCAACCAACCGACCAACGTCTGCGGCGTGCCCTAACATATCCTCCCGGTGTCCATACGCATCCACGCCATCTACCGATATTCCAAACAGACTCGGACCCTGGCCGTTGGAGCGCCATCTGCGGCGAAAGGTTCTCTCATTTACCCAAGATTCTGCTGTCCACCATTACAAATATACAAACATAAAGTAGACATAACCTACCTCACCTCTACGCAGAGACAACAACACTCCAGTTGACCTTGCCCTGCGTATGAGAAGCCGGCCACCAGCATCAATTGGTATCGCATCTCGTCCCCTCCGATGCGGGTTGGTTAGGTATCAACTCTATCTACTCTTTCCGTATAACCGAACAAGCGCGACTCGCCCAGGTCCCTGCGAGCCAGTCCGAGTTAGTTTCGGGCTGCTGCAGCCGTCACACGTGTGTGCTTCGCGGGCATGCCTCAGTGTCAGCACCATTCGCTTTGTAGCATCTGATCTTGTCGGTCTCTACAATTCGTTCTAAACTTTGCCGCGACTCGTTCTAAATTGAGGGGCAACCAATGATTGGGGAGAGCTTTCCGCGGTTGCCAAGCTCGTTGCTATTCGACGCGTCTTTCGTTTCCGCTTGGGGCCAATTGGGACACTGCCGCGCCCTCCGTCACGGTGCAGCAGCAGCTCCCAGAGTGTGCGTCCCTGCGTCACCGTGGGCCGTCTGTTGTCCTCGTCACCGCATCAACCAAGAGGAAGACCCTGGGAAGATTTGCATGGGGCGGACGGGTCAACTTGTCAAGTGTCTCAACGCCCAAAAGCAAAATGTCCATCTGTCCAGTGGAAATTGGGGGTTCTGTGGCAAGCCGCAAAACGGTCTGCTAGCCAGGGATCCGGATGCATGGGGGTCCCGCGATATGCAATCTGCAATCCTCCTCTCCGCTGCCCGACCTTGGAGGAACACACCCGTCGGTATTCAACCACAGCCAACCAACCCGTTCCCCGTGCAGACGCCCGTCACGTAATCTGTCCGCTGTGTTGCTTTGCCGAGGATCGCAGAAAGCTCACATCTCGTTTCCTGGGACGACCATCGATGAGCCAAGTGTTTACGGAAGTCAGCAGGGGTTCTCGCAACATCCAGATGCCTTCTTGTGCTACATACCTGGTCTACATCCTACAGCAGTCGACGTGGACTCTCAGCACTCGCGCATAACTGTCACCGGCTGACAATGGCATACAGAAACGACCAGGGATTGGCTGTAGGTATATCTGGACCCGAGCGGTGGCTTGTCTCACGTAATGGATTGATGGTTTTCTTTTCCAACCAACGGTACGAATACTTGTCACTTGTCATCCGGAACAATTGGCTGACCTAGCAGCCCAGCCCGATGAAGGTCACTGACAACTACATTCGCCGTGCGTTTGTGGACATCAGTTAAGCCATTAAAAATTGCGCCATGCTACAAGGCCGGTCGACCACTGAATAGATATCTGACTGACTCTACATGGACTCTGTTGACCTGCAGTTCAAAGCAGTCGGAGCAAGCTCAGTTGCGGTCGGCTATAGGCCTATCAAAGGACTAGTGGACACTCGTTTGAAGGGACATCGATACAAAATCGATACAAAACCGCATCGCCTAAGTTTCTGATACAGACCATCATTTCGTGGGATATTGTTTTGCCAAGGCCAATGACCAATCACAGACCACGATTCCCGGCGCTGTGCGTTTGTTTTCTTAACAAGGTACTGCTATAGCCCTAGAATACACCGCCTGCCTCATCGTCTCGCAGAAGCGGGGCTCAGCAGGCTTCTGTTCCGAACTCCCTCCACCTGCAATGCGAACTATCACATTTGAGACCTACATATCCGTACATGGCAGGGCAGCGCGTCTTTCAAAAGCTCAACACCAAGTCGCTATATGCGGCATTCGGAAGGTTTGATGACTCGAGCGGGCAGACCCAATCGGCGATCTAGCCGCAATTCGCATTTGAATCGCCTCGCCTGAGCTATAGAATAAGGTTCCATCGAATTAGTCAACCTTCAATGGAGCATCATCAAGCCTCGAAGCAGCCCGCTAGACCGGCGCCGGTGTCGAAGTCTGAATGGCAAAGGTGGCTTCTCAAGATTTTAAATCAGTCATATCGAGAGAAACTCCTGACAAGCTCGCTCATCCTTACGAGTCGCTAACCGGATCGTTGATTTGCTTCCTTTTAGCCAGGGGAAACACTAGTCCTCTGGCGCCATTCAACTCCGAGCCCGGGTTGCTTCGAGTGCCCAGCTTCTGCCGCTAGAGTCCCAACAGACGCGCATCATCCTATCCCGCCCTCGTGTGCGGATACATATTGGCGGAGTAGGCTGGTCACCGCACCGCCGTTGCACTTAGGGGCACCTGCTTACTGACACCACTCTGAAGCCCAACCTTGCCTTGGTAGACTTGGACTAGCATGCGATGGCAGAGACAAGAGAGGGCCCGAGCAGGCCAGGGGACGCCTCCTTTTCTTTCTGACACGGACTCCGGATGGCGCTCTCTGTCCTATTCCGTCCGTCCTTCCCGTTTTCCGTCCTCCCGGGCCTGCCTGTGTCCTAGGCGGCGTCCGCAACGCAGTCTTCTTGCTCTCCTTTCTAAAAACTGCAAACATACTCCGTACACGTGGACTGATAATTCGGGAAGCACTGACCAACGCAGATGGCCAAAGTTGTTTGGCGCGATCTCCCAACCCGTTTCCCGTTTCCCGTTTCATGGGGGCTCCGTCTTGTTTGGTGATCCATTGCCGCCCGCCTTCCTACGGGATTCGCAAATCCATCCAACGTTGGGGGGGGTCTTTTTTGAGTTGAGTACGTGTGAGATGAGTTGACATTAAATTCAGCCAAAGTTTCGTGCGAGGATGCTGGCATGGCTGGCAACCTCTACAGACGGGATATTTACTTCCTGGCTTCGGAAGCCGAAACAGCCGGCCAGAATTGCAGGAAGTTAGACTTATCCATTGCCATAGTAATCGCTATAGTATACTTCGTCTCTCTCTTTTTGGTGTGTTCAGATGGCACCGAGATAGTGCTTCTCTGTAGACGGGTCAATCCAACATTCTACCTAGACATCCTCTGCGCCGTCTCTCTAGAAGTTCAGATATCGTGGGTTATCTTACTTCTTACTAGACCCGCTTCGTCCGTACAGTGTCGGTTTCCAGGCGTTTGGTCATCCGCTTCCCGGAGACGATTGCGGGTACGGGGGAGACGCACGCCATTTGCTGGGTTACTCGCCGCTGGATCGTATCGCACACAGCAGACAATGTAAACAAGTCGAAGAGGATCTTCCATCCCTGTGTGAGATCACTTCGAGTGTGCATTGTTGTGGTGGTAGGGGAGGGATGGCCGACATGTCCCGTGTGGCAAATGCCGACTGGGGCATGTGATGTCCAGCCACTGCAACTCGGCTGCCACGGGCGGGCTCTGCGGTCTGCTGGCATCGGGGCCGGGTTCCCCACGCTGCGGCCCAAATCACATGCAGCTTGGGGGGGAGGGGGTAAGCTTCCGCCGGTCCAGCCGGGCAGCCCCAATGACATTCACTACACCTTTGTATCTATGCGATTTTAACTTCAAACGTCTCTCACAGGCTGCGCTCATATCAAAGGTAGTGAGCTTGACCGCGCTTAGCTACCCACGCGGAAGAGAAAGACATATCGCGCCACCTCTGTCTCGTCTCATCACCTTACCTTTTCAGCGAAGCGCATCGCATGCTCAGCAGCACTGCCGGGCGGCTGTCCGCCAAATCATGACGTGACCTCCCCAAGACGTCAACCCGCCAGCAAACCATACTACCGCCGGCGCATGCCGCTCATCTGGTCGCACCCTCCATCACCACCACCACCACCATATTCTCGGGGCCAAGCTACGGACCATGGATGCGTATACGGCCGACCTATTCATATCCCGCGACGATGCCTCCGATCATCAGGCGCAGGCCCAGCCGCCTCCGACGGCCGTGGTCGACGATTGGCCGCACGATTCCGACGTAAGCGAGGGCACCCCCTCCCAGAAATCGCCCTCCGGCCTGCGCTCGCGCATCGCAAACAATCTCGGCAAGAAGACGAGCATCCAAGATCGCCTAGTTGAGAGGTGAGTTGGTTGCCAAGCTACAATGATAACAACAGCAGATGTCTCTGCTGGGAAAAACTAGACACTCACTAACGGTCGACAACAGGCTGCTCCAACAGGTCATCCCCGAGAGCTCCGATGGCATCACCAGCGGCGGCGACGACGCCCTCGCCCCGGGCTTCTCCCCGGACAAGACGAGCACCTTTTCCGAGCGGCCCAACTTCAACATCACCGCAATGTCCAACAACTTCCGGCGCTTCAACGCCCGCATCGGCGTCGTCTTCAAGTTCCAGGCCCGCGTCGTCCGCCTCCTCAGCTGGCGCCGCCCGACCCACACCCTCTCCCTCCTCGCCGTCTACACTTTTGTCTGCCTGGACCCCTACCTCTTGACCGTCGTTCCGCTTGCCGGCTTCCTCCTCGCCGTCTTCATCCCCTCCTTCCTCGCCCGCCACCCAGCCCCGCCCTCCGGTACCCTCTCCTCGGAGCAGTCCGTCGGCTACTCCCCCAAGGGCCCGCCCTTGGCCCCGGCCCGGACCGTGAAGCCCGTCAAGGAGCTCAGCAAGGACTTCTTCCGCAACATGCGCGACCTCCAAAACTCAATGGACGACTTTTGCGTCGCCCACGACGGCGTCGTCAGCACCGTCCTCCCCATCACAAACTTCTCCAACGAGGCCCTCTCCTCGGCCCTCTTCCTCGCCCTCACCCTCACCACCGTCCTCATGACCACCTTTGCCTCCCTCCTCCCCTGGCGCCTCATCGCCCTGCTCGCGGGCTGGGCCGCCATCCTCTCGGGCCACCCCGCCATCGCACCTTTACTCACGCACACCCACGACACCCACGTCGCCCCGCGCGAGGCCCACGCCCGCTCCAGCGTCGATGCCTGGATCGCGGGCGACATCATACTCGACTCGGCGCCCGAGACCCGCGAGGTGGAAATCTTTGAGCTTCAACGCGCCTCCCACGACGAGTGGGAACCCTGGCTCTTCTCCCCTTCTCCGTACGACCCGCTTTCCCAACCCCGCATCGCCGGCGAGCGGCCCCGCGGCACGCGCTTCTTTGAGGACGTGCTGCCACCCGACGGGTGGGCTTGGTCCGAGAAGAAGTGGGCGCTGGATCTGTGGAGCAGGGAGTGGGTGGAGGAGCGCATCATTACGGGCGTCGAGGTTGAGACGGAGGGGGAGCGGTGGGTGTATGACATGTATGATGAGAATGGCGGCGGCGGCTTTGGGGTGGTAGACTCGCCGACAACGGGGAAGGGCAAGGCGAGGGTTCCTCCTGGGCCGACGCCGAGCTGGGAGGAGGGCGAGGACGGGACGGGACGGAGGGGGGAGTGGAGGCGGCGAAGGTGGGTTAGGCTTGTGAAGAGGAGAGCTACGATGAGTACGGCTTGAAAGGGGGGAGTGTTGGGAAGGATGGTTTTTGTATAGTATGGTAATGATGAATGACATGATATTCGTGGGCCACTTGCTTCTACTTTAATTAAACCAATGATGTTGTGTCACGGCAGAGAAAAGATTCCAGCAGGTAGCTCGATTCATGGACAAGACAGTCTACGGACCCCCCTTCCCAAGGCTGATCATCTTAACACGGGGATAATGGACCACGTATCACACGGACGCTAGCCACATCTTTTGAAGTTGCGGATCATCATCTTGCCTGTAGTTTATCTACGACTTCGTTGCCAGCCCAGCCAAGAAACCTGAATGGGACGTCCATATGCGTGGATCGATTTGGTCAGGAGTTCCTCTCCCCCGTTTCGCTTCGCTTCTCCTTCTCTGCCTTTTCTCAGACCAAGTCTAAATGCAGCCCGTCCGGCGTGCCAGCCGTTAAAAAAAACGTTCCACCAAAGCCCAACCAATACCAACTGGAAAAGAATACGGCAGAGGAGATTCCCTCGTTCCGTTTCTCGGACCAGGCGGGCATCCATCGATATGTCCCGTGACTTTGAACGTAAAGGTATCCCGTTCCGCTAATCCAAGCGTCCCTCGGATAGAATCCACTAATCCCCCCTTCCATATCACGTCGATTTATGTTGGAATACGATATCCCGCCACCGCGAGAAGAGAAAAAAGTGAAGAATCAACAGAGCAACCTTCATCAAATCATGAAGCCGTATTCTGATCCGCAAGGACCATCTTGTCAAGAATCTTGTGCACGCCCTTGGTCAACCCGCGGCCCTCGTCAATATCGTCAGCAATCGTGCGCGCGCGGGCAATCAGCACGCCGACGACCTGCTTGGTATACTCGAAGCTGCCAGTGCTCTCCATGCGCGCGACGGCGAAGCGCTTGACTTCGACGTCGTTCGTCTTTTGTCCGAGGATGTTGATGAGCTGCAGGTTGGACGGGTCGGAGCGGATGCTGTGGATGATGGGGAAGCTGAACTTGCCCTCGGTCAGGTCCTCGCACATGCCTTTATTGTCCGAGTACTCCTTGCTCGAGAGGTTCATGTAGTCGTCGCGGATCTGGAAAATGAGGCCCATGAGGTTGACGAGCTCGGAGCAGTCCGTCAGGCTGCGGGACTCGGCCTGCATGAGCTTGACGCCCAGGCGGAAGAGGCCGCCCGTCTTGTTGCCAACCATTTCGAGGTAGTCCTCTTCGGTGGGACAGGTGAGGGTGTCGCGCCAAAAGAGGTCCATTCCTTGGCCGCGGTGGAGGTGGACGAGCTCTTCGGCGAAGATGGAAATAGTTTTGGGGTTCTTGAGGCGCTGGAGCTCCTGGAGGGCGCAAAAGTAAATGTAGTTTGCCGAGTTAATGGTCTGGGCGACGCCAAAGATGTTGTGGGCGACGGGGAGGCCGCGGCGGAGGGAGGACGAGTCCTCGACGTCGTCGATGAGGAGGGAGGCCGTGTGCAGCATGCCGACGACGTTTGTGATAACGTCGATGCTGTCCTGGGGCACCTCGAGCCAGACGTTGAAGGCCTGGATGAGCTGGGCGCGAAAGTCCTTGCCCGGGTGGGTGTAGAGGTAGTCAAAGGGGCCGGTGATGACCTTGTCCTTCTCCTCGGGCCAGGTTTTGCGAGTGAAGTTCAGGTCAGAGGTCGCGTAGCGCGAAGGGTCCGGGGGCGGGGGAGGCTGCATCGTGAGGGTAAAGGAGGTGGCTAGGTTGTTCCCTAGGGAGGGACGGCGAGACCGACGGGAGGAGTGCGAGAGCGAGTGCTTGTGAGCGTGGGAATGGCCGTGACCGTGGCCGTGACCGTTGTTGGTGTTGGTGTAGTTGGCGCGGGAGAGCCAGTCGGTCTCGGGGACGGTACGGAGGGGCGCTTTCGAGGTCGCGGGCATGGGCGCGGCCGCGTGGGCGGAGAGGGAGACGGGGGCGGCGGCGGCGGACTGGTGGCCGATGGACGATTTGCGCGAGGGGATGTGATTTGGCGGGGAATGAGGAAACGTGGAGGAGGGGTTGTTATTTGTAGGATCTGAGGACTTGTCGGCGGCTTTGTCTAAAGGAGAAGAGGACGGCGAGGACGCCCACGGGTTCTTAGGCACCATTGCGAAAGGGAGCCTTCTCCAATGGTCCGGCTGCCAGGGGAAGAAGCGTGGCTTCTTATGGATGTCTGGTAGGGAGGACCTGGTCTCACCACCACCAGCAGAAGCTACAGCTGCGGGAGCTCCAGCTGTTGGCTCAAGCTCAACAGAGCTCGCGTGGGTTGGGAATGCGGCGTGGTGGAGCTCTGGCTGGTGGGTTGTGGTAGAATCGGTCAGCTGGCGCCGCTGCTGTAAGCCCGTGTAAACGTCACCACTTGCTCAGCCAAGGTGAAGTTCTGCCTGGGGGGGGAGGCATGGTGAATTGGTGTGGGAGCGGATAGGATAGGACCGGCTTTGCGGCAGGCAGTCGATTGCCGCATATGCGAGTGCTTTTCTGCCTGTGTCTGTATTGGTTCATTGACCACGTGCATGTGCTGCCTTTCGGCGGGGAACAAAACGAAATGTAGACCGTCATGACTTTTTTGCGAATAGGACCTTTTCTCCACCCCATGCTGCAAGGGAATTGGCGAAGGCAAGGATGGTGTGCAGTCAGAAAGAGCAAAGGGGAACAAGGCCAAGCTGGGTCACTGAACCTTGCTTGGAATCTCCTTGGTGAGAGGGTGAGGCGGGTACCTGATGAGTCCTAGACAGACCTGCAGTAGGCAGACAAGGAGGAGAAAGCATGGGAGAAAGCAAAGTAGCAAGCCAATTAATGTTGGAGATGGGCATTCACATGTCAGTGGAAAGCAGCTTGCGCACCTTGAACATGCAGCACCAGGAGAAGCAGTAGCTATAGCTGTGGCAGTTGCTGATGGAGCCTCAAAGTGCCCAGGCAAGTACCCTCGTTGGTGGAGCTCTTATCGGGTGATGGTGGGGAGATAAGGCAGGTAGGTATTCGGGCTTCAGTCGAGGCCGAAGGTAGCAAAGACGTCATTCAATTCGCGGCTGGTCTTTGGGGTCGGGATTCCGTCGACGCCGAGCTCCAGACGGGCGCCGCGGACTTTGGTCCGGGCCGTAGGTGGAGCGACGATGCAGGGAAAAGCGGAACGGAAACGAGGAGAGAAGCTTTGGGCCCGGGAAACTCGGCCAAGTCTTGACTCGTCAAGCCGTTGTTTGCCTGCCTGCCTGAAGGCCGGAGGGGAGTAAATGGAGCGGAAAAGGAGAAGAGGAAAGAAGACGAAGAGCAACCGGGTGGGCGAGGAGAAAGAGAGAGGTTCGTGCGAACGCTTCGTCTTAAGAATCGGCGCGGAGCACGGAGGAGACACGGACACCACCCCCCTCGAGCGAACCTGGAAGCAATGGAGAAAGGGCTTCTAGAAGAAGACGAGAGCGAGCCATTGGATTAGCCTCGATGTACCGCGTAAGATAAGGTAGCTCTCGGATGTCATCCAAAACTCTCTTGATCCGCGTGCTTGTCGCCCGTCCTGTCACCCCTCGCCCATGTGCTTCCTAATGCTTCATCCTGCCGAGCTCGCTAGACTCTGTTGCATTGTGATAGCATCCGGCAGACCGAGACAGAAACGTTACGGTGAAGAAAGAGAGAAGAGAGAGACAGAGGCAGCTTACTCCGACTCGGAGCAACTCTAGACACTTGAATGTGCCATCCCCTCGCGCCTCCAGGTTTCATCTGCGTTAAGTGCTGGTCTTAAGCACCCGCAGCTGCTGCGACGGGGCCGGCAGATAATTATCCCATTCGACAGCGCAACTCTGCAGAAACCAAGGCATTTCAGGGTCACGGTCAATGCCAAAGCCTCGCTTGTTCCTATCTGCACCTGATGCATCAAGAGATGGATGACTGAAGCCTTGAACCCTGCCCTCCGAGGTTCCCTGTACTATAGTAGGAGAGCTCATGCGAGACGGGAAAGCCCAAGATGCTTAGTTGCCGGCCCGTGCCCCCACGATGCGCCAAACGCAGCCCAATGACCCCAGTGGCCCTAATCGACCCGCTTAGCTAAGAAACGGCTGCCAACTTGGCCAGTCAGAGAGCAGATTTTCTCTTTGGGCCGTACTAAATCCCCATCCCAACGTGCTGGATCGACCCGGTTGCCGGGGCAATAATCGTCCAACGCAACACAAACAACCCGCATTGTCCACCTCCCAGGAAGTTGCCTCGTCGCTTCTCAACTCTGCTGTCTTTCCCATGAGTCCTATCACGCTACCGGGTAGTCTCTCATGAATGACCACTTGCGCATGCGCCCTCGCCATTGACTTTTCATTTCTGTCTTTCCACCCCCACCTCCCTCCGTCTCTACAATTGTCGCGCAATTGTGATACGCCCCTTTCTCCAGATCCCTAGGGGACTTGTCCTCGCCAGCATTCTTTTTCTCTCTTTTTGTATTAACATTTTCCAACGGTGCTGCTATTTTCCAAGCTCGAGCTCCGTCTCTATCCAACCCAGATCCGATACGGCGTCATTTCATTGCTAGCAATCATCAGCAAGTCGCATCAACGAGAAACCGCATCGTCTTTTTTTTGTCTTTGCCCTTTTACCACGGCCATCGGCGCCCGACAGCCCTTGATACCCACAACATCAATCAAGCCACCAAGCCACCGCCTACCAAAAGAGCACGATTGAGAACAATAGATATAATGGAGAACCTCCTCAGCCTCGCCTTTGACGGTCTCTCGTCCTACGACGGCCCCAAGGTCCGCAAGGGTCTGCGCCAAGTCGAGGGCCTCCTCGCCCAAATCTGCCTCTCGTCCCCGGCAAAATCAAGGTCACCCACAACCGACGACGATGCGTCCCACAATAGCGGGAAGTCTCTCGCGGACTTGTCCGACGACCCGGCCTTTCGCGAGTTCTTCAAGCTGCAAGAGGGGTTCGAGTGGAACGTGGCGCTGCGCCTTATCAACACGCTCGACCGTCTGATGGGCAAGGGTACCGACGGACAGAACGATCTCCTCATTCTCAGCTCTCTGGACCTGATCCAGGGCGTCTTATTACTGCACCCGCCCAGCAAAGCCCTCTTCTCACGAGAACAGAACATGAACGTACGTTTCACATTCTCTCTCCCGCTGCCGCTCTCCCTACAAAACACTAACTACAACCTGCTCAGCTCCTCCTCGACCTCCTCGAACCCGTAAACTGTCCCGCGATCCAGTCCGCCACCCTCCTGACCCTTGTCACTGCCCTCATCGACACCCCGACAAACACCCGCACCTTTGAGGCCCTCGACGGCCTACTGACAGTCACATCCCTTTTCAAGTCCCGCTCCACCGCCCGCGAGGTCAAGCTCAAGCTCGTCGAGTTCCTCTACTTCTACCTCATGCCCGAGGTCCCCTCCATCCCACGCGCCGACGTCCGCGCCTCCGTCCCGGCCATCCACCAGCGCAGCCCCAGCAAGCTTGCCGGCGCCTTTGGCAGCGCGGCTTCCACGCCCGCCTCTACCGACGCAAACCACGCCCGGAATCGCGCCGGTAGCGAGTCCGCCGATACCATGACGACCGAGGAGAAGCAGGAGCTGCTGGGCCGCCACCTGAGCAACGTTGAGGATCTCGTCAGGGACCTGCGGACGTGCACGCCCTTTGGTGGTGTCGTTTGCTAGTCTAGCAAGCATTTAGCTCATATCCGGCATCTGGTGTTTCAGGTTTCTCGTCATTTCGGAGGGGTTATTCTTTGTTTGCGAGCTGTTTTCTCTGTGATTGCATTCTCCACATTGTTTGGCGTTCTCGTGGAGGGTAAGGAATGTGATACAAAGGTTTCTCATACTTTGGCGTCGTCTTTCATGGAAACGTTGGCGAGGAGTTTCCCACTATTATTTTTTGACCAAGGGGAGTTGCTCATTCCAAAAGTTTCCCTCTATCTGAATCGCATAATACGTATTGTCAAGTTCGTCTCTTGAGTATCGTAGAAGCATCAGGAAGAAGAGAAGAAACGCGACATCTTTGTCTCTATCAGCTATATCATTATCGTCGCTATCGTTTGTACTACACAATTCCCGGGGCGTCTCAAAAGACAAGACTAGATTTTTGAAGACTTTGAACATCCCTAATATGTTTATTCAGAACCCCTTTCACTCCTATCTCTCTCTTTTCCTCTCTGATGGAGCGGGACCCGGTGACCTATCAAACATGCTAACACTCGCAATACTCCGCGGCGTCATCATCGACGGCGTCGGCACGATGGAGGAAGGCGGCGCCCCCGTTGAAGGCGAGACCATCTCGGACCCGTACAGCTCGTACCTCCCGTGCGTCGTCTCCTCAGACGGCGTCTGCATCTCCCGCGCCTCCTCTTCGGGAACGGAAGTCACGCTGTGGCCGTACCCGTACCCGTACCCCCTCTTCCCGCCCACCGAATCACCAATCTCCACGGGCGCGACAACATCGTTGGGCGAATGCGCCTGCAGCGGCACGCCCCTCCCTCGACCGGGCGTACCCGCCGTTCCGGCTCCGGTCTCGGTTCTCGACCCATCGGCGGCGGCGGCGGCAACGGTCTCCTCCGTCTCGGTATACGGCCCCGCAACGGCATCCGGACCAAAGTAATCCTGTGTCGCGCCCCGGCCGGGCCCGTTAGGTCGAGACCCGGACGTGACGTCCGACAAGGCGCGCACGCCGCGGCTAGGCCTCTCGCTCGCGGCGCCGGATACGCCCCTACTGCGACCGCCGCCGCTGCGCTGGGACATGGTCGCCGTGCCCGTGACAGTCCCCCGCCTACGCCGGCGACGTACAAAACAAAACCACGCCAGCACGCCCGCGAGAGCACACCCGACGACCGCAATACCAACCCCGATTCCCGCCTTCGCGCCAGCCGATAGGCCCCCTCCTGCCCCTCCGCCTCCATCCGGAACCGTCGTGTACTCCACGTCGCCCCCCGTGGCCGTCGGGTTCCCCGGCGCGCAGGCCGCGGTCCCGCTGACGACGGTGCAGTGCATGAGGTTATCGCAGCAACCTGCCTGCCCGTCGTCGCACGCGTGCTGCGTGGTCGCGGTACATCCCGGGTCGGCGGGGGTCAGCGCGGCGGAGGACGAGGGCGCCGGCGCGGAGAGTGTGCTCAGGCAGCCGCCGTTGGAGATGCATGTTTGGCCGTAGGCGCAGCAGCCGCCGCCGAACTGGGATTCGCAGCGAAAGGCCGAGACCGAGGGGCATGCACGGCCGCAGCAGGCTGAGGATGTCGAGGTGGTGGTGATGATTACGACGGACGCGCTGCCGGCTGTGGCTGTGGCTGTGGTTGTGGCCGCGGCGGCGGATCGCGAGACGGAGACGGTGGCGGTTGTGGTTACGGTCATGATCGTTGGGCATTGGTAGGCTGTCGCCGGGCAGTTGGAGTCGCAGGTCGAGCCGACGGGGCAGCACCACGGCGAGCTGTCGGGTTTGACGTAGCAGTAGTTTGTGTTTGCGCAGCAGGACTCGGGGTGGCCGACATCGACGCCTACGCGTATTTCTTTAGTTCATAACCTTGGTGATGGGCGAGACCACATCCTTCCTTTTTCATTTCCATGGGATGGGGAGATTTGAAGCCAAGGATGGACACAAAACTAAGGACATCAAGTGTTTGAAATAGGTCTCTGCTTACAGGAATGGTAATTTGGTTTGCATATCCCGCCGTCGCGGACGGCGAGCTTTGGTGCGTCGATGAAGAAGCGCGGAACGAGTCCGGCGCCCCCGACAACGGCCGGCGACATGTCGACTGCGGCGTACCTCTGTCCGGTAGCCGCACTGCTGCCGGCAACGGCGGCGGCCGCCGCCAGCGCGGTGATTGCGGGTGCCTTCATCCTTTTCTTTTCCCCCAACCCACCAGTGTAACTGCGACTGAGACAAGCTCCGAAGGCGATATTCTCACTCTCTTTCGCTCAAGAGCATATCGTCTAAATTCATGCGGCCGTTGAGAGGTGAGATGTCTTGCTATGGGGGGTGTAAAGGAGATGAGAAGCCGAGGAGGAGGAGGAAGAGGAGGACGGGGAAAGTTTGTGTGTGGCGACGAGGCAAACGCGGCTGAAAGTGGAAATGGGCAGAGAGAAAAAGAACATGGGAAAGGCAAGGGACACTGAACAATGATAAAGCAAGCCACTCCATGGGTGGAGGAAACGTGACAGTAATTATTGTAAGATGGCTGCACGGAAAGGCTGCTGCTGCTGCAGTTGCATGCGCCGAGATGCAGGGTAAAGTAGCATCATCCATCATGGGAAAAAGAGGACCATGTAAGCAGAAACCCCATTGCCCCCTCGAGAACACCCACCGTCCCTTTCTTCAGGAGTAACTTGTCTTCTTCCGTCTCACATCTTTATACGGTTTGCACATGAGCTACCCCAGGATGAGGATATCGAAGAAACGGCCTTTTCTATCCGACCCCAGTTTGTAACTCCAATGACAGGCGCGAAGGGAAAACCACTTGATTTGCGTACCAGTTTGTTACACCTAGAGGCTGGATCTGAAAAGCAGAAGCGGAGGCAATTGTACTGCTCACTTTCCTCTCTCGGCCGCCGCCGAGGGAGTCGCCAACCGTTTGTGATGATGATTGGTGGCCTGCTCTGATGTCTTGTCTTTCCGTTGGTTGGTTCGTGGGTGCGTCGTTGCTGGGCCGCTGGGCTGCATATCGGGAGACCACCCACGCCGAACCCCCTCCCCCCTTCCCTCGTGGCGACGCAAATCATACCCTGGTGGCTTCTGAATTCGGCGTTTCCCCGTTTCGATCAAAGTTGGCGAGGAAGGGGCTCCAGCAAGCTGCCTATCGAAGCACAAGATTGGGGCAATGTGGCGCAGTTAGGAAAATGATTATGGAACATATGGATTGTTTGCGAAGAGGTCTTGGATGGAGGTCATACTCGTGAGTCCAATCAACAGCTTGCCAGTATAACGGGGGATGCGAGCCGCTGTTATCCTGTCAGGGATGAGACGCAAGAAAACGACTGTGAGATGGTCGAATGGTAATGACTCCAGCATGAAGGAAAGTCAGCGAAACCGCGCAAAGTCGCGGGTTGAACCTCCAGATCCGACGAAGAGGGCACTTTACAACCCAGAAACAAGTGCCGGAGGTCCTGAGTCGCAGAGGAGCGGATAGGAAATTCGCCGTTGATGAGAGTGGTCATATTTGTTGAAATGATAAAGGGACATAGCTACTCATCAAAAGTCGGAGAAAACCACCAGTCAGAAACACTACCGTCGTAGAAAATAAAACGAAAATTAAGAGCGAAGCTTTCAGGCCCGGCCCGTCCGCCCAAGCACTTCTCCTCCCGACGGACGGCCCCAAACGCAGAAAGAAGCCTAGCTCGCCGGGCGCGGGGCCTCGACACCATCCCGCTAGCGCCCGACCGTCCCCCCCTTCCTCCCCGCAGAACCTATCGAGGTACGGATAAAAACGGCAGAATCCCGTGGGCGGCACGGGCGGTCAGACAGCCGAAGAGCTGGAACCCCACCACTTTTACCTACCCCTCCACCAAACGCCCCTCGCCAGCCCCTCGGATCAAACTTGCCTTTTGTCCATTTTTTGAAGATATTCACAAATAAGAACACCCGAAACCCCCCGCCCTTTCCATCCACGACGTGCGACGCGACAAAGCGCAACTCCGAACCATTACTCATTGGACAAACAGAAGAAGCAATAGAAAAAGGAGGGAAGACAAGAGAAACAAGAAGGGAAAAAGAACCCTTGGGGGAAACCAGCCTCGTCCATAGAATCCCCTCAAACTCATCATCAAAACCGCAAAGCAACCAAAAATGACGACAATACCAACAACAGTAGCCCTCCCGCCGGCATCGACATCGACTACGACGACGACAACATACTCATCACCACCGCCGCCAGAGGGCCAATTCCCCCTGCCCCCCCTCCTCAAAAACCAATCCTCAACCCCGCCGACCCTCATCACCCAAGGCGCAGAAGCCCGCCTCTACCACACAACCTTCCTCTCCCCCCACCGGCCCGCAGCCCTCAAATACCGGCCCCCCAAACCCTACCGCCACCCGACCCTCGACGCCCGCCTCACCCGCGCCCGCATCCTCGCCGAAGCCCGCGTCCTAGCAAAATGCCGCCGCGAGGGTTGTCCCGTGCCCGCGCTGTACGCCCTCAACGAGGTCGCCGGATGGCTCATGCTCGAATGGATCCCGGGCGCACCCGTCAGGGTGCGGATCAACGAGTGGCTCGGCGAGCGGACGACGGAAGCAGCAGAAGCAGGACAAGGAGGAGGATCAGAATCGACGGCCGTGGGTAACACCAAAAAAGACGCGACGGGCCTCAGGAACCTCATGCGGAGAATGGGCACCGCGATAGGCAAAATGCACAAGATCGGCATCGTCCACGGCGACCTGACAACGTCCAACATGATGCTCCGCCCACCGCCAAAGTCCTCCGCAACCTCCACGTCCACCTCCACCTTGGAACAACGTGACGACCCCCTTGAAGGCCAAGTCTTCATCATCGATTTTGGCCTCGCGAGCCAGAGCACCTCGGATGAGGACCGCGCCGTCGACCTCTACGTCCTCGAGCGCGCCTTTGGCAGCACACACCCGCGCGCCGAGGCCTACTTCCAGGACGTCCTGGACGCCTACCGCGACTCGTACAAGCAGGCGTCCGTGACGCTAAAGAAGCTCGAGGACGTGAGGATGAGGGGTCGCAAGAGGAGCATGATTGGCTAGACAAGGCGGTAGTGGAAACATTTTCTTTACAAGCAGAGTCAACCTTCACTCTACTTGCAGAGAAATCGTAAAGGATCTAAAAAAAAAATTGACAGCATAGAAAAGAAAGTCGAGTCAAATTGATACCCATAGAGTATTTGGCGTGTTTAGCCGTTTCTACTTGATTTGCTACGTCGTCATCCCTCTCCCCAGGTACTCTTTTTGTACCTTGTTCCGTCCAACATGTGGTGCATTCTGTAGAGATGCCGTCTATAATTGCCACAAAAGTTTGACAAAACCCCGTCCCAATAAACACCGACGCCAGGTATAAAGTAATAATGCCGTGTGATATAAAACGCCGTGTCATGCTATTATGAGTTTATTTCCATACCCGACTTTCGAGACCCAGCTCATTGTGTGAGCATTTTGTCGAGGCGCAACTTGGTAGTTACACGCAAGCACTGTCCCAGTCTGCTCTAATCCTGTTTGACGAGACACTTTGTCTCAAACCACTTTGCAAATCGCACCGTCGGAACATCGAACAAGCGCCAAAAAATATCGGCGGCCCAAATGACTGCGGGAATGCAGCCGAAAGATCCTAGAACGAATCCGGCATTGTACCACCAGCCCTCGAGGCCGGTGATGGCGTAAATACGCCTCTCAATCATGTAGCCAACGGTGTGCATGACCGGGCCGTGCATAAGGTAGAGGGCATAGCTGATCTTGCCGAGATACTGGATGGGAGCGAGGTTGAAAAAGCTTTTCCATCTAGGAGAGTGGCCGACGCAAAGAACGAAAATGACAGCTCCGATAGACTGCCAAAATCGGTAACCTTCCTCCTCCCACCACTTGGGAATGAACGTGCAGAGCCAGACCCAACCCGGAGTGATTTCGTAGTTAATGTCCGGCTGGCACATGAAGTAAATGGCGAGAATGCTGAGCATCGCCCAGAAGAAGCCCTTGAGACGGTTCCCCTGGGGTTGAGCCGCACCATTCGCCGGAAGGACCGAGGGTTGCTGTGCAGGCGTGTTGTTGCCCATGATCATGTCGTATTCCGCAAGCATCATGCCAAAGTAGAACAGCAGCAGCTCCCAGCGGTTGTTGCGGTAGGTGAAAGCGATGATTCCTGAGAGGAAGAGCAAACGGAGTCGGGACCGTACGCGAGCCAACCCGATGAGGGTGATGAAGAGGTACATAGAACAGCGGAACTCCACCGGGATAGTCCACAAGTGAACATCGTACGCTAATGTTGTAAGCAAATCACGCTGTACGGGTTTTCCTAAATGGCCACTTACATGTGCTGCCACCAAAGCGCTCCCAGCCAAACACGTGAACAAACTTGAACATACTCCAGACCCAGTCGTAAAACTGTTCCGAAAAAGTGTCCAGAGGCTTTGGGTGAGGCTCCATGACGTTCTTATGGAAAGCTCGGTCAATGGCAAAGTCTCTTGTCCACTCGTAGACTCCGAGCTGGAGCAAGATCATGATGCCAAAGGTCGAAATGGCAGTCGGCATATACAGTCTGATGAATCGACGAAAAATCAAAGACGTCGTCGTCACGGAGAATTCCTCAAGGTTTCCGGCTCTGGCGAGCTTGATCGGCTTCATGGATAGAGCGTACCCGGAAATGACGAAGAACAGACACACCGCTGGGGGCCCTTGGTAGAAGAGTCGAAAGAACGGCATTTTGAGGATGTGATAGTTCTTTTCTGAAGAACCCCAGCCCTCGGCAATGATGAAGGCTTGGTAGAAGTAGTGGCAGAAAAAGACAAAGAGCGCTGCCAGGCCTCGCATGCCGTCGAGATATGATGTCGGGAAAAGCTTGTCGGTTCGGCCTCGCTCTCTCGTGAATCGGCTCTGGACGAAACTAGGTAGCAGGAAGATGAGGCCGCGGATCACCGTAACCCTCCATGGTATGGCCCGCGCATAGCCGACGACACCCCGGTGGACAGTCGACCATCGTGGTATCGCAAAGCGGACTTCGAGGTCGGCCCTACCACTCTCGCTCTCGATGTCGGACAACGTCTTCTCGTCCAGGAGGCCCATACCCTCTTCGTGTGAAAGGGACACTTTTGAAGCAGCGTGTCCGTTCATTGTCCTGCAATGGCACCAGCGGCTTATTCGAGCTAGGAGGGACGTGGTTGGTGGGTTATAAGGGAGGCTCTGGTGGCCAGGCTACAGGACAGGTTGGTAGCAAGCACGAGTTGGTTGAACAGGGCCAAATAGGGTCAAATGGTAAAGGAAAGGGGAGGCGGAGGAGGGAACGTGGTGGTTTTGATCCGGAAGGCCCCTGGTATTCAGACGATCTTGGATCTGCAGAAGGGAGGGGCGAAAGGAGAGTGACGGTCGGCAAGGGCAGGTAAGTGTAATTGGGACCAGACACAGACAGGGCCTGTGAGAAAGGATGTTTGCCGAGGAGGAGGTGCCGCCGCTGGCTGGGTGTTGCTGAGTATTACTGGGTGATGCTGGATGCGGCTGGGCGTGCCCTGTGTCTTGTCTCGTCTCGTCAACGAGCCCGTGACCGTGACCTTGACCTTGACCTTGTTGACCTGGGCTTAAGCAGGACCTTGGGATCCAAGACCTAGGATACCTCCGCGACGTAGCAAAGGCGTGGGCCCTTGATCAGAGGGGTTGTGGAGAACGGGAACAGGCAGGTAGGCTCTGAGAGAAAGAGATTGGTGCAGAACAACCGTGAGAGCAAACAACCAAAACCGAAAAGAAAAGGGTCCGGCTGGGCTGAGATCGGAATGACGCCTCAGCGCATAAATGAGTTGAGGTGCTCGTCTGGCAATAAGAGGCAGACAGGATGGAAGGATGTGGGGTGAGGCAGGCAGCTGTAACCTCAAAAAGACGGGACTTGAGGCGAGCAGAGTTGGGAAAGAGCGTCAGTATTGTGGATAGAAGGGGCCTGTTTCAGGGTGTGAAAGAGTGGGAAAGCTTCAAGTGTGGCAGCTATGACGGGTTTGTGGAGGGATGCACCATGGATAGGCCAGGCCCAGAGAGTGCAAGATGAGATGTGCCTGTGCTAAATAGAATGTGCAGACGCTTCGTTTCTCCGTACAGTACCGTCTTCCTTGGTGTATAATGATTGTGTGTCTCTGCCTCGGATGGCAAGAGAAAGGGAGAGGAGGGGGGAGGAACTCTTTCCGTTATTGTTGAGTTCGAGGGCCCCAGGAACCATTGAAAAAGGGACGAAGGAAGGATAGGGCCTGCCCAGTCTCAGTCTGTTCGTTCCTGTCGTGTCTTGTCGTGTCTGACACGGGAAAAGGCAAGAATGACGGGACTAGCAAACTGCAATTTTGGTTTGATGGATGGGAAGGCAGCTGAAAGGTACGCCACGGCGGGCAAAGAGAAAGGGCTCGAACCACGAGGATGGGAAAATCCCAGCCGAGGCGCAGACGTCAAGCAAGCCAGGAGGGAGAATGAGCGCTGACTGTGCACCACACTCTCTGCTGATGATCGGATTTCTCGACTCGTGCGTGGGCGTGTGTGAGTGTGGTAGGTGAGCAGACTCGATGATGAGCACGGCCGCCGACGGTCCAATGAGCCAAAGGCAATAGAAGGGATGAAACGATGGAAGTAAGCCGGTCGAGACAAGTACGAATAATGACCGAGAGAGTGGTTGAGAGAGAAAGACTATGTGCGATGAGACGGGCAGTAAATTGAAAGGGGAGAAACAAAATAGCCTCTTCCAATCCAAACTAGATCAACTCTATCAGGCCAGGACGGTACAACTGATCTACAAAGCGAAGGTAGCTTCGTAGCTAGGTAGGAACTTGCAAGTAAAGTTATCGCTCCAGAAACATCGGGTCCAGTCGAGGAGACCGGGGACTTGGGGTAGTAAATAGAACGGGGCCCGCGGTTTCACACTTTTATGAAATATCGAAGCACGTCCAAGAAAGTGGTAGAGGCGGCCGATTGACCAAAACAAGCAAGGACGGCAAATAAAGGGGAAACAGGGCAACAATAATGAACCGGGAATACCATATGAATGAAGCGAGACTGCAGGATAATGCTAGGAATGCGGAATTGGCAAATGATAACATCCCTTCCTTTGTGCCTCTTTCTTTATGTCGTTATGCAAATGCATCCGCAAATCGCATCATTTGGGTGAGGAATACCTCCATACCCAAATAAAAATTGAGAAACCACCAAAATCCAAGACAGAAAACAACTCCATGGAATGGTGCGTAACATGACTGGATATTAGACACTTGCCCAGTGTCTGAGATACGCAAGCCACACAGGATACGTAAAGGCCTGCGGAGACAGTCAATCAATATTGGATACAGTTTCTCCTCTAATGTCGTCGGCTCTTCTCCAATGAATGATCCAATGAAGCCTCCAGTCTTCGATTCCCCTTTTAATTGGGGCTGGAGAGAGGGCCAAGCCGGCAAGCATGCAAAGGCCAGAGAAGGATCCTCTTCCTCCAGGACATGGCCCCAGTCCGCCGCGGTGCGCCGCCCATCATCTCCCGCCCTTCCTCCTCCCTCCCACTTGAGTCTTCCGCCGGCGTAACACACCTTCTGCAGAAAATGCTCGACGGGGAAACTAATGACGGTTCAACGGCTCGTCTGGGCACGACGCCGATCGACCGGACCGGGGTAGAGAGGAGGATGAGCATTGGCAAGGGTCTCAGGATCTATGGGGAAAGGGCCCTAAGGCTCGAGGGTGAGAGAAGGATGTCCAGAACTTGAAAGGGCTCTCTGTTCCCGCCGAGGAATGCCATGCCCGCCCATCAATCCACAAGACGGCATCTCAGGACCGACATCAGGTCTCGGCGCATAACTTATCAGGACTCAGAGGGTTTCCCGGCGCCACTTTTTGCAACGAGCTGTCGTAAGTGGCCTGGAGCTCTCTATGCTGGGGGTATTCAGGGAACATGGAGAACAAAATTGTGGAAGAATGTCACAGTATTGGCCGACAAGGCGATTCGATGCTCCAAAATGTCCAACTTTTCGGTACTTTGTGTGTACGACCTTCCGGGGTGTGTGGATGGGGGTGGTCTCAAGGTTTTGCAGTACGGATACAATTTCAAGGTTGAGATCAGCGCTTGGATCCACGCTATCGCGCTCGGGAGACCGGGGAGGGCTCGAGACACTGTGACGGCTCAGGTGCAGCTGCGGCGCGGCGGCATGCAGTCGGGCCAGGTACCGCACCTTCGACTACCTCATGGTCTCGCCTACCTTAGCACGGTAGGTAGCGTGGTTGATACTCTCCACTCGGGTGATAAAATAATTGGCCGCCTTTCCTTGCATCAGCCACGCAAGAACGGCCTTTTATTCGGTCACCCAAGTGCTCCTGTCTTCCAAGTCCAGCGCACCTACATACTGCCTCTGGACTGGACGGGAGTAGCCTACCTTAGGTACAGCACGCGCGCCCAGCGCGTGCGCCCCATATAATTACAGCCCCCCTCCCCGGTCAGGGGTACAGCTTGTTTCCCGGCAGTCAATCCCTTGGCCTTGTTCCAGATCGGCAATCCGTCACGCAGAGTGCATGGCAGGCTCCGCTGCCCGTCGTGCCGTGTGCTGTTAATGGTACACGCAATGCCTCGCCTCGCCTCAACCGTTATCTGTGTCTAGTCTGGGAAAGTCTCCGTCCTGTCATCTCCGATCCATTCCAACCAAATCCATCCAGTCACTCATTCCCAGTCGGACCAGTCCTCTCCCTCCAGGCTCATCCAAGTTTGATCCAACTGCCTGCCCCTCCCTATCAGCATACCGTAGCAGTGAGCCGCCGTCGCCGTCGTCTATCCCTGGTTTCGCAACCGAGAGGAGCATGGCTTTGTTTTGGAACCCGTCTCTCCTTGATCCCAATTAAAATCAAGAATAACTGACGATCGATATCCAAATGCCGAGTCAGACCACCACTCACTCTCGACTTTCTGAGGGTACGTACTACACTCACTGGCACACTGGACAGCCCAAAGTGGCCAAGGGACGGCCCTGGATCGACGTTGCTCTCGCCTGTGAGACTATCGCTTTGAGCCCCCTTTCCCGAGTCCCATTCCCCGGAACAAAATACTTCTGTGCGGCACGCTTGCTGACCATGCTTATTCATACTTTACTCACTCGACTGCCTCGCATCTAAATTTGCACAAAAGATCGTTTCTTAGACCCTGTAATCCGGTGGACAGACAAAAGGAACATCTAACATACCCTTCTCACTACAACAGCATTTTTCTCGCCGATAATTAAAATACAAATACCAAAAAAAAAAAAAAAAAAAAAAAAAAAACAAAAAAAAAAAAAAAAATTTTCAAAAAAAAAAAAAAAAAAAAAAAAAAAAAAAAAAAAAAAAAAAAAAAAAAAAAAAAAAGGTCCCCATTTTTTTTTGGGCTTTTTCAATATGACTGTGAATTTTTATTATTTTATTTCTTTGTCTATGTGCTAGTAAAAGTGCTAAGAAGTAAGGGAATACGATAGTCAGTGCCTCAAAGTATGCCCTTTTTTTTTTGGTCCACCGGGTGCATGTCCATGCGTACCTAGTAATACATGTTGTTTTTCGAGTTTGGAATACAGAGAACCACCAGGCTGACACAAACATGCCGAGTCTGTGGCCACAAACCGTCTCATCGCGTCATTCACTATACCATTTAACCCGACCTCTCGTTAGCTTCTTACGTATCCGATATGTGACACTGCATCGTCAAGGGAGTGTATCTTGTTCAAGTATGCGAAACCAACGCCTGTCAGTATCTCTTCATATCCCATCCTATACGATCTATACGACCGAATCCATGCCGCTTTCTTCCACGTCACAGTAATGATAGCCAATAAAATAAAATAAAAATAAACGAAAAGCCAACGCCCAACACCTTGCCTTTATATCAACAAGCCATACTTCGTCGATTAGGTGGAAAGCCAGTCGAGGAACTCGGGGGTGAAGTAGCTAATGACAATGGTCGCACCGGCTCTCAGGATTCCCTCGGTCGACTCGAAAGCCATCGCCTTCAAGTCGAAAACGCCAGACTTGGCCGCCGCGTGGATCATGGCGAACTCGCCACTCACTTGGTAGGCGGCAACAGGCATGTCCTTGCCGAGCTCCTTTGCATCGCTGATGATGTCGAGGTACTGGCTAGCGGGCTTAACCATGATGATGTCCGCACCCTCACCAATGTCACGGACGATTGCGCGGCGGGCCAAGCCACGGCCGCCGGGGGGTAGCTGGTAGCACTTGCGGTCTCCGAATGACGGGGCAGAGCCTGCCGCATCGCGGAACGGACCGTACAAGCAGCCCGAGAACTTGGCCGAGTATGACATAAGCACCGTCTTGTGAGCGATGCCCTCCTCAATCAGCTTCAGCTTGATGGCGCGGATGCGTCCGTCGTTCATGTCCGAGGGAGCGACGCAGTGGGCGCCGGCCAGTGCGTAGGCAATGGCAACGTCGGAGATGCGGTCGACGGACAGCTGGTTGTTCAAGCTGCCGTCGTCACGCAGGATACCACAGTGGCCGTGGGAAGTGTACTCGCACAAGCAAACATCGGCGCAGATGAAGAGCTGAGGGAAACGCTGGCGGATGGCGCGAATGCTTCTGATAACGGGTCCCTCTGGATCGTCGGCGGCGGTGCCAAGAGCGTCCTTGGTCCCCGGGCGAACGGGCACACCGAAGAGCATCACGGAGCGCAGGCCCTTGCGCACGAGCGTCTCCAGCCAGGCCATTGTTTTGTTGATGCCTCGGCGGTATTGGCCCGGCAAAGAGGGGATCAGGATCTCCTCGTCGTCTTGGTCGGAAATGAAAAGAGGGTAGATGAGCATGGACTAGTCGGGTCGAGTCAGTGATGATTCGTGGATGACCGTATTATGCCTCAACTCGTAGAACTGACCTTGGTCAATTGTCTCTCGGCTTGCCACGAGCGGGCAAGGGGATGGAAGTAGCCACCATGCAGCTGGCTCGAGATATCGCCGGAGATGCTAACGCTTGTCGCCGCTGTGCTGGCGTAGGACATGGCGCGTGAGATTTGCGACCGACCATCGTCCATGGTAGATACTGATTGATCACCGCGGGATCGACGCGGGACGCCGGACTCCCTCATGGTGAGGTCCTGAACAAGGCTGGAAAAGGACATGGTGAATGATGGCTTCGTCGGGTTGGAATTGCTACTTCGACGATTGAATGAGGGGTCGGCTCGTTGTGGTGGCGAACAGGTATCGTAGTGCGAACAGGCAAAGGGGTCGCGGTGGTCGCAAAAGGAGATGGGCGGTGTTTATGATGTGCCTTTCCCGGACGGTTCAAGTCAGGTTTTCTGTTCGATGGGAGGAAATAACGAAGACGACAACGACGTAATCTGCTGGGATGGCTCGGAAGGTATGGGACTGAAGATGGGACAAATACGTCAGTTGCGGTGGCACAAGAAAGAAGTCAAAAAAGGTTCGCGGACCAGAAGTTGACGGGTTTTGAAACGGACCAGCTTTCCCTTCCCGCTTTGGCTGAACCCGGCAGGAGACGGAGGTGGGCGTGGGGCCTGCCCGTCAAGCGTTGCTGGGAATGAACAAATGGGATTGCGCAATGGAGCCGATGACAGACCAATCATGGTCCGATCTTTTCCAATTGGCTCTCTCCGGCGGCGTCTCCGCTCCAGACTTTCTTCCAACGGCAACAGCGAGCCTAGGTATGTCGGTCAGCAATATTGCTTTCATCCTTGGCGAGTGCTGACTAAGACGATCGAGATGGTCATGAACCTCGGCTGGCGAATTATGTGCGTTCCATGTTTGTTTGGGAGCAGCGATGTATACCCTGTACTGGTAATGCGACTGCTGTCTCCTTCTCGAGACATCTCCTAGCGGAATATCCGCTCCCCTGGCCCGCTGCCCATGTAGCGGCGAAAGGCGAAGCGCTGCACAAACTTCTCCTGGAAGGATCCAGATCCCAAGACCGATATGGGCTGAGGATCTCCGCAGGTGGCCACGGCTGGCTGCAGGCCCGAATCTCCTCCGGTGCCCCTCCAGCCCTTCCGTCCTGTAGTCCGCCCACCCATAACGTTCACCGATCAGAACGGCTGCACACAGGCCCGCCGCCGGCCACGGTGGACTCCGGCTCACTCCGGTGATGCACGGAAGAGCCCGGATGTAATGCATTTCTCTGTTTTTCTTTCTTCACCTGCTAATTGCGATTGGCACAGAGGTCTGATTCAATCAAGAAGAAGTATTCAAAATTCCCTTTCTCGTTGCTTGGTCTATCCAAATTGGTAGCACACACCAACCTGCTTCATGTTTCCGTTCCCTCTTTTCCTGGGCGCTATCGAGCCAATCCTCTCAAGTCCGAAGCCGAATTTCGAGTTGTCCTACTAGATAGAATGTGGATGATTCTCATCGAAGCATCCCGGCGTCTCAATAAGTGCTGCTTGACCTGACCCAGCCAAGCTGCGCCCCATGTTCGCATCGTTTAGCACGATCCCTCTGCTATCTATGCTTGACCTCGTGCACAGCGCCATCTCCGGCCTATCATGCTGAGTAGTCAATGCCTTGGTGTTTGAATGCTTTCGGGCCGAGAATCGTAGGCGGTGACTCTGCTCAATTCCGATTTCCTGCTTTTCTTCAGCGCAACTATCAGCCACGGCGTTCTCATGTCTCGAGCTACATCTCCGCCTCAGCCACAATATATAATATGTTTACTAACAAGGTGCACAATCGAGATCCTCGAGAATCTCCTTTAAGATTACCTCAAAGTCTTTCGAGTATCCTTAGTGGTCCCATTATGGAACCTTTGCAACTATTTGCGGATGAAGACTTTGTTGAAGGCTTCACACACAAGTCAAGACCGAGAGATGACAATGTCGGTTGTTACAAGTCAGGGTCACTTTGGCTCACTTTCAGACAAAGCCACCGAGCCTATCCTCCGTGAGCTCGACCAAAGTGCGGCTTGGACTGGCCCTCAAGCCGCAGACTGAGGCATCGTCTCCTGAGGTTCCCAGTGCAAGTCATAGGCTACCTCCGCTTGAGTCTCCGCCCTTGGCCCCCGTGGAACAACCAAACGCCGAATGAAACAGAGGGCGTACCTCCGGGGGGCTCGAAACAGGAAGCCACGACTGTGGGCTTGGTGTTGAGGTGAGGAAACTCCGAACCTTCCCACAGGAAAACCTGTTCAGACGGAAGGGCGGTCTCGGTTCGCTCGCTTCTTTTTTTCTTTTGCGCACTTGTCGTGTTTCCCACGTTCGCACCCCACGATCCCCGAATTCCTCTGAAGCAAACACAAGTATCAACTCTGTCGCCTGTTGCTGGCGTCGGCAACAGTTGATCTCAAGAAGACGACCCCAGTCCCATTGCAAAGGTAGGTCAAATCGAGAGGAAATTCTGCCCCGAAACCATTCCCTGACCTCCATCAGTACCATCTGAAGAATCGCTCCACGTTCGTCAGCTTGGGTTCGTCAGCATCAAGTATTTCGAAAGAACCATTCCAGGTTGGCTAATCACTCACTGAACAGCTTCGCAGCATCAAGAATTTCGAAAACCCACGCTTCATCATATTGTCATCGTCATTCCCTTCCCCCTAGGACGTTCGGCGTCCTGTTCACTCCTTCTGCCGCACCAAGGTATCTCATGTACGATGAAGAAAAAGTCCACAAGCACGCTTGCCAATCTGGCGCCGCATCGTCGCGGTAAAGGCAACCAGAAGGAAGAGAAAAAAGACACTCAAGGTAAATGTCAATTTGGTCGTGTTGTCCGGTACCAGCTGACACTTGTAACAGCTCCCATTCCCCCTCCGTTGCCTGCGAATCGAAGCGGTCCTGGTCACCCCTTCAGTAACCCTGCTCCAGGCGGCAGCACCGATCAGACTGTCGACCGCTTGGCCAACGACTTGCTTGAGAGCACGATTTACCACCACCCCAACGGTTTGCGCAGTCACCCATCCGTTCTCCTCTGTGGCACTGAGCCGATGGCTATGGCACCGATGATATCTCCCAATGTGCCGGCCACGGCCGCTTCTGCCTACAGATTTGTCAATCTTCCATCGGAGGAGATCGCCGCGCATTTCAAGTATGATGCTCAGGCTGCGGAAACTAACCAGGTTGCTCCGGTTATCCCTGAGAGGTCCTCACGACGTCCACGAGGTGAACGAGAGAGGAACATCGATGCCTTCGGTGACCCGGAGAATCGTCCTGTGGTTCTTACGTTCCCGCACTCCGAGACCACGATGCTCAACCCTGGCAATCGACACCCTCTATTCCTGCCTGCGTCAACTACTACGCCACTTGGCAAAAAGGATGTGGGCGCAAAGAATGACACCGAATTCTACTTGATCAACCCCAACTTGGTCAGCGACAAGGTCGCGGCAATGTTGGCTGCCACCGAGGCCTTGAAGCCCCCTGGTTCGGGTAACAATACGCTTTCTTCATCGAAGACTTCCGGTTTTCGTCGCAAGAAAGTTATCTCAAAAGTTCGCCACGCGCTGGACATCTTCCAGCCTAAGCCATCAACCCCGGAGTCAAGGATCAGAGGCAAGATCTCAGCGCCTGTCGGTTTGACTACATGCGAACTGCCTAATCCTGCTGCGCACTATCACCTCGAGGAGGTCGAAGAGGCATCTCCAGTCAGCTCCATTGAGCTTCGCTTCAACGAAGGGAACAACCTGCACAATCACAAGGTTCAGAGCATCGTTGGAGGTCGTATCATTCGCAAGACCGCTCCTGATGACGGAAGATCGCTTCGCAGCGGCGGTTCACCAGACGATCCCTCCTCGGGACAGGTTGGAGTCAACCGTACGCCCACTCCTTTTGAGTATCACCTCAAGAGTAGTATCGACTCGACCGGTGTCCCGCCGGTTCCGTCTCTTAATCCGTTCGATGCTGAGAAGGATTTCGATACTGACCTCGAAGGAATCTTGTCCGAGAAGCCCGTATGTGCCTCAACCCCGCGTCGACCCGATCGAAAGGCCGTTCCCCTCGATAGCCCCTCCAAGAGGTATGCGAAGGCCGATGACCGTTACCTTGCGTTCATGAACGACAATGAGGGAGGTCCCAGTGCTCCTGGTCCTACTCCGAAAAAGTTGAAGTTGTCGGGCAGTTTGAGACTGTTCCATGATCAGCCTGACCTCAGCACCAAGAAGCACCCGTCGCCTAACAAGGAGGATCTCGATGACCTTGAGACTCGTTTCCGCGAGTATGCCATTCAGCAAATCGAGTTGTCCCCTATCGAGGAGCAGCCGGCCCTCAGAATCAAGTTTGCTGGCCTCATCGGACCGGCTGCACTGGGCCCGAAAGATAAGAACACCACACTGATGTCGGGCGAGGCCAAGCAGCGTGCCACCAAGCCTAGTGTTGTCGGCGAGGCCAGCACCGTCTCACTGCGCCAGTACACCCGCGAAGAATTCACTCAGATCACAACTTCCAGAATCCCTCGTCCTGCTCCTCGATACACTTCGTACAATCGACCTTCAAACTCTGATGCGCTGGATATTGACGAGTTGCAGTAGGATGTGACTGCGTGCGGTCCCAAGCCACGTCGTTTCTAGGGCTTGGTCGTGGGACTTTGATGAGTCCGAAAAATTGGATCGTCTTTGGTGGCACCATTGGGTGCTGGACCCTTTCCTCGGGTTCTTTGTGTGCGGTTCTGCGACTTCCACTCACCACGATGGAAAGACCTGAAAACGCTGCTGTATTCCACAAGCTTCTACAGCTGGCTTCAACAACTTGGAGACAGCCTGCCTGCGTTCTTTTCTGGAATTTCGAAGCGCCAATCGGCGAACCTGTTGAGTATTTCCGCGGCCAAAAAGTCAGTTGGTACCACTAAGTTACCAACGTATTCTTTGTTTGGCCCGACCCAAATTTGTGTAAGTTGTGGGTTTCTCCAAAAAAAAAAGATTCATTAACTAATATCCTGCAGAAAAATAAATCCAATTTCAACTTGGACTGCTTTCGAAGTCCGGCTGCGCCTTCCACAATTTTCCTTTTTCGTGAGACCTGAAGTCAACAGGTCTCCAGTACTCCCAAGCACGTTTGAGCAACCCTAATACAAGTCCTACTGCCTTATTAGTCATGGGCACTTGGTTGTTGTGCGAATTCGATCAAAAACATTCGTGGACCAATTTATCCACGGCAGGACAACAAAACAATTCTCTACTCTTTCAGATTGTGTCACTTTGCGCCCCACCCGTGGGTTTCTCGGGTGGACTGATGGATGCTTCAGTAAACCTCAACAAGGTTCTCTCATACGCCATATTGCGTAAAAATGCCACGCTGGTTGATGAATGTCACAGTGAAAGGATGGTATCTGGTGTAATTAGAGACCGTAAGGGGAAAGCTCAGATAGTTAAAATCACGTTTCCAAGGCAAGCAAGTCATGTGGCACCGAATGTTTATGTCACTTATTCATTTGTGTGTGGAAGGTGACATATTTTTACTCTGATCTTGTATTTCATATCGTAACACAGACATGGTATCTTTAAACCAAATCGCTTTCAATAGTACTAGTACAGTAGGTATCCAAATCCATCATAAACCATTAACATAAGAGACTCGCTGTTTGATGTCTATCGCATGTAGCGATCAAATGGGGTATCTTTTGTGTGTGTGCCGCGTATCTAGTAGCGATGGGCGCGGTGAGAGCCGCGACCGTCGGTGCCGTGCATGCGGCGGGTGCCGGCGGCCTTTTGACCGGGGCGGCGTGTCAGGGTGCCCTTGAGCTTGAGCATGGCGCCCGAGATCTTGTCGCCCATGGAGGGCTTGCGGCGCTGGTGGTGGACGGGGGCCGTGTGGACGGGTCCTCGGCGGCGAGAGAAGAGGCCGCCGCCTCCGCGCTTGGTGGTGCGGGTTGTCTTTGTGGTTGTGTGGTGGTGGGATGTGTGAGCTGGGGCACGGCGGCGGGAGAAGATGCTCCGGCGGGGAGCGGTGGTGGTGGTGTGGCGGGTGGATCTGAGAGGCATGATTGCGATTTTTTTTTTGGGGGTTTGGAAGCTGGGTTCAGGTGTGGTTTGTTTGTTTGGTGGGTAGACTTGAAGTCTTGAGAGTTGTGGTTGTTTGTTTGGTTGGGTTTGGTTTGTTTGTAAGCTTGATGCTGTTGATGAGGACGAGAGAAAGACTGGTAGATGGGTTGGGAGACTGGTTTATATGTTTTCTTGATGCTTCTCTTGAAGACTGCTTTTTTGGGATAAGGTATGTTGGGTTTAGGTCAGATGGCGTATGTAGGTTGTGTGATTTGAGCATGTCATCATCGCGGGGTGGGAAGTTCATGAACAGACAGGGGGAGTTGGTTCGTTGGTTTGGTGTGCGGGATCAGGGCCCCCGGAAGGAATGATGTCAGGTCCAGAGGATCTACGTTTGTGTGGTCTCTGATCTATACGTACGAACACACACTAGCACACTGGGTCAAAGGCGACAAGGCTACTCTTTTTCGTGTCAAGGTGTGAACAACCAGCGCTGGATGAAGGGAGGTGTGTATGAGGCAGCTTTTGGTGGGATCGATGCGCAAAGGGTCCGAAACCTGCGTCTAGGTTCCACACTTTGGTTCCTATTTTCGTTTTGTGACCTCTGATGACGAAGGAATAGACAAACGGACTGTAGGGAGGGTGTCATCGGGCCCTGAATTTGGGAAGGGGTGACGTCCCTGGACCCTGGCAGTTCTTCCGTCGGGTAGGACATGGGGTAAATTCAGACATTGTTATGTATGAGGGGGGGGAGGCCAAGGTTGGCCAGAACGATAACCTTGAAGTGAACGCTCGTTTTGCTACTCAATTGGGAGGTGAGGTCAAGGTGAGCGACCGCGCGAGGATCCTCGAAGAAGCGTCCAGCCTCAAGCCCAAGCCATCCAAAAACAAGTTTTGGAGGGTCCTGTGGCTGGTGACGTCGAGGTGCTGTCGAAGGAAGGGACCCCATTGGGTCCAGCCTCATATCCCTGTCTCTTGCTCGGAGAGAAGCGCTTGCGCCTGAAGTGGGATTCCGCCAATTAGAGTTGTGGCACGGTTAAATGTGGCTGGCAGATATGATGTCATGCGCAACGGTTCGTTCGTAGATAGGTGTGGCTTGTAATACCTATACGGCCAAGTCTGGGCCCAAACGGGTTTCCCGGTTTCCTGTTTTCTCCCCGCGCGGATGATTAGACGTACAATGACTGGCCTTTCTCTTTGTGTGTATCATACTGGCTGATCGAAAATACGGTGCGTGTTCTATGGGTCGCTGGCGTGAGAGACCTTGAGAAGGGGGAAGGATGGGCATGAGGATTTGCGGCCGCTGACGAAGGTCAGACTGGGGACCACCAGGGATTCGACGTCAGTTTTGCGGGCTCGAGACCTCTTTGGCCACTTGTGGCCTCGATTCGAGCGAGATCAAGAGAATCTTATCGGGTCTGGGCTGAGATGGAATGGAACATCACTGAGGGGAAATGACATCGTTGGCGGTCTTGGCTTAACGGTGATCACTCAACGGTGCAGCGTTCTCATCATCAACGTTTATAATCTCAGGGCCAAGGCAGGCAGTCAAATTATGCATCAACAATGTCTGAAGCGCGACAAGCGATGCTATCGACGTCCCCCCTTCCCCAGCTTTCTCTTCCTGCCACTTTGCTTCTGTAAAGTGAAGTCATCATGCCTTCCAGGCGCCTCCTCGAGAATCCTCCGTTCCTTCAGTCGGCAACGTAAACAGCGTAGCCGAAGTGGCTTCAGAAATAGGCGGCTTGCAGACCTGAGCTGCCCATTTCGCAATAAGCTCGTTGTAAGAATAGTAGTTGGCGTCCTCCTTCCAGCAGTCATAAACGGCACACCGAGCGACACTACCCCCGACCCAGGTGGAGAGGTACTGTGACGCTGGGAGGCAGAACTCGCGCTGGGCCATGTGGTTCACGACCTCTCCCCTAAGTGCCCCGTCTCTGAAGCAATGCGCGATGCAATCTGGGAACTGGTCGATGCCGAGGCCTGTCATGTCGTCTTTGGGCAAATCTAGCCATTCCTCTATATTCTAAGACGAATGGCCCTCTATCAAGGCCAAGGAACCAAGTCAAGAATATCACCGTGAAGCTGGCTGGCCACCAACCGCGCCTGTAACTTTCTTACGTCTCGATTATGTACTTAGTGCCCCCGAACAAATTTCCAACAACTTATCAATAATTGCCGTCGGCTCATCCATTGTATCCATTGTATTGAGCCCTCTACAATCATCACGCTGTCATAGGTTACGCCGGATCTTCACGCCCAGAAAGATTGGTCTTGATCCTGGCCAGATCGTCGCTCGAAAAGCCTAAGGTCGTGAGAACGTAGCCCTCCCAACCGCCATGCTCCTCCTGCACTGCCGCGACGAACAAATCCCAGCACGACGTCCGCAAGCTACACATGTTGCAGAAGCCCGGGTGGTTGTTGAAAACGACGCCGCCGCCGCCGCGGGCGTGCTGGAGAAGCTGCTCCCTTGCGGGCTCGATGCCGATGCGCGAGAGCATGTAGTCGAAGCGAGCGTCCTCAGGCCCGGTGCCGGCGAGAGATTGCAGGAGACCTGACATCACGCCGGTGCGGTCTCTTCCAGCTACAAAGGTTGTGTTAGTGAGTTCTTTTCGGCTGACGGCCAATTTTCGACCTTCGTTAGAACCCCAATTTTGCGTACCTGTGCAATGGAAGAGAAAAGGCTCGTGAGGCTTATCACGCGCGTGCTCCAAGATCGCGCGGAATGTGGGTCGATACAAGTCGAGGACCTTCAGGTATTCTTTGCGAACTCCAGATTCGCCCCCCGCCTCAACAAACTTGTTCAGATCGGGCGGGGCGTGGAGGCCTGTGCCCTCGAACCATGTGTTCACGACCCCTTCGATTTCTGGGTCGGGATGCTTCTCACGTTCCGCTAGGGTGCGGATGTCGAAAACCCGCTTCACGTCAGCGGACAGCCAGTCCAGCGCCTGTGGGACTCCGATAGCGACTTAGAGCATCCCGCAGCGGTAGGCGAATCCTGGACGGATGCCGGAGCCCGGCACGGTACCAAGGTCGCGAATGCTGATGAGCTCGGGCACGGGAACGAAGGGCGGCGCACCCAAAACCTGCAGTAAGATTTCGGGCGTGATGGGGTCGTGGACGTCTCTCTCCGTGAGAGCCTCCACCTGGTCTCGAGCCATGGCCATTTTTACGGGGGGATGCGATGCCAGCAGCGTCAAGTCCACAAACCTCGACAGAATGAAGCAGCTCTTCCTAGGATGGGTTTATATTGATAGCGGTGAGACGGACGGGAGCCTGCGACAGGCAACGCTTGCGACCTGCAATCATTAAACAGAGCTCGTTGGAGTGAGATTTGGGGTTGTAAGTAGTCTAAGTAAGACGCGGATAAAGATGGCCTGTCTCCGTTGAAACAAGCTTCATGAGGTATTCTAACGACATGAGCTAGCATTCATTACAGAAAGCAGTCGCGTGGCGCCAAGACACCGGATCTTCCGGCCTTTGAGGTTTACTGTTTGCCCAATCGCCTCGAAGACAACGTCTTGACATGTCCCGAGGTGCAACTAGAGCGGTTTTGCAGCAATGCCCCTATTGTGACCAGCATCGCTACCCGGTCGCGCCAGACAAACAGGAAACCTTGTAGCCAGTTTTCTCGTCAAACAATGGTGTATTCACGGCATATTTCATGCCATTAGAAATGTTGGACATTTCGAGAACAATGGGTGATGAAGTTGAGGATGTTGCTTTAAAGATGTGGAATTGAACCCATCATCCCTGCTCCCCCAGGCCAGATAAGATAATCTTTCCTTATCAAATATCGCGATAAGGATATCGACCTTCCACACCGAATTTCATGACCTCGCCCTTCTGGACGCAAGCCATATGATTCAAATTGAGACACTAATCACCTCAATGAGAGGCTAGAATTCCAGCATCATGTCATCAAATCCAATATTGAGGTGGGGATTGGGTCTCTCAGCCGCCGCCGCCGTTGTCGCAATCGCAGTCGTGCGCCTCCAGCAACCTCTTTTGGGCGAGATCGATGACACCCAAACGTACTGCTATCAGGGTGTCCGGACGCACGACGAGGACCAGCCGTCAGCCCAGTGCTTTACGGTCGCCGACGGCAAATTCACTCGCGTGTTTCCATGGGACGATGCCAGCTTGACAACCACAGCTGGTTTCGTCATTCCTGGTCTGTGGGATGGCCACGGCCATCTGAGTCAGTATGGAGAGTTTCTCTACTCGGCCGATCTATTCGGAGCCTCTTCTTTGGACGATGTTCGAGGCCGCCTGAGGAACTACGTTGATAGCCATGCTGATGCTGGCACCAAGGATGAGTGGATTCGAGGAATTGGCTGGGATCAGTCGGTGTACGGCAGGATGCCGACTGCTGTGAGTTAGCTTCGCCCCACTGCGTCCAGTGATGTCCCTAATGCTCGATAAGACAGACATTGAGGAGGACGAGTCTCTGAAGGGCAAATACTTCATGCTTGACCGGATAGACGTCCACTGTGCGTGGGTATCACAAGCGGTGCTCGATCTCTTGCCCCCAGACATCCCAGATGTGCCTGGCGGCGAGATCGTCCGTGAGCCAGGCATGGGCGTCTTCTGTGATAACGCCATGGATCTGATCTACAACTTGTGGCCGAAGCCCGGGCCTGAGAAGAAGCGGGCATTCGTTGCCGCCGCCATGGCGAAGTTGAACGAGGTCGGGTTAGTCGGGATCCATGATGCCGGCGTCTTTCCGGACCTGCTCGACCTGTACGCCGAAATGGCACACACGGACGATTGGACCGTCCGTGTGTATGCAATGTTGGAGTGTGCTCAGCGTAACACTTTCTGTCCCGATGATGCTGCGCGGGTCTTCCGCCAGAATGATTTATTCAGCGTCAAGTCCGTTAAGCTTTTTGCAGGTAGGTCATATAAGATAAGTGATCTGGATCAACCCATCGGAACTAACATTTCCCAGATGGTGCTCTTGGAAGCTGGGGAAGCGCCATGATAGAGCCCTATAGCGATCGTCCCGATACCGCCGGCTCTCTCCTCGTTAACGGCTCGACCCTGACGCAACTTGGTAAATCCTGGGCATCCGTCGGGTACCAGGTCAACATCCATGCCATTGGCGACTTGGCAAACCGTTATGCTGTCGATGCCCTGGAGGCTGGCCTGCGAGATGTATGCCCCAATGAGGACCTTGCAGATTGCCAGGCCCGACGACGATTTCGCATCGAGCATTCGCAGATTATCCACGAGGACGACCAGAAGAGGATTCATGACATTGGTATTATCCCATCCATTCAGCCGACGCACGCGACCTCGGATATGAAGTACGCCGAGCTACGACTCGGTGCAGAGCGTACCAAAAGGGAGGCGTACCGGATGCGGTCACTCCTGGACGCCCACCCGATCCTCGGCAGCGACTTCCCCGTTGAGCCGCCAAATCCGTTCCAGGGTATATACGCTGCCGTCGCCCGGAAGAGCCCCCATACAGGTTACGGCGTTAACGGAAGTGAAGATGGCTGGCACACCGAGGAGGCCTTGAGCCTGGATGAAGCGTTGCTCGGATTCACCAAAGGTCCGGCTTACGGCGCCTTCATGGAGGGACGAGCCGGCCTTATCAAGGTGGGCGCGCTGGCTGATTGGGTTGTGCTTGATCAGCCTTTGGAGGACTTGGACCTTGACGAGCTGCGCGAGCTTAAAGTCAAGGAGACCTGGGTGGGCGGAAAACAGGTCTATTCGCGGGACTACGAGTGAGGGATTACCAAGGTTCACGATTCATGATTCAAAAACGATTCTCACAGCTTTGTCATTAAGTCAACTTTAGCCAACCGAGACAGCCATCTATGTGAGATCTTTCTACGCCAGCGACTTATAGGGTCGAAGAAAATTTGATGGTATGACCGCAACTGACTACGAGGCGCAGGCGTGACTGCGTAAGATCGTGCACTCCCCTGGCCAAGGTTTGATACTTCCATGGGTCACTTCAAGCATTTCAACGGAGATACCCACGCATCTCTCTTCAAGGTTGCTACGATTCCTTCGCTATTCTTTTGGCTTCTACTTCTACGTTGACTCCCGAACATACAGGATAACTTTCAAACTGCACTGTCGGAAGCTTCGCCAGAAGCCCTCGCCATCCATAAAATAGTCGAAAAAAGGACGGACACTTCACAATGCCCCCAATCAAATCAGCGAGCGGCGTGCCAGCTGCCCGAGTCTCGAGCAATCGCATACTTCTACTCCTGATGCTGATGGTCTTCATGATGAGCTTCGGCGCCTCTGTGGTGCAGGGTGCCATCACAAAATACCTGCGACAAGTCATCTGCCGACAACATTACGGTTTACCCCAGGAAGTGCCCGTCGTCGACAGGTACTGTCACATTGATGCCGTAGAAAAGCAGCTCGAGTGGACGGAGATCGTCCTCCAGGTCTGCCAGGCCGCCGGTGGCCTCTTCTTCGCCTATCCCGTGGGCAAGATGGCCGATTCCAGGGGCCGACGCGCCGCCCTACTCTTGGGCACCTGCCTCTGGCTAATCTTTTCCGGCATCCTCATCACAACCATCTGGACCACGAGCTGGGGGGCGCGCTGGGCGCTCTCCATCGTCATCGGCGCTGGAAGGACGTTTGTAGAGATTGCCATCTTGACCATGACGAGCGACACCACAAACGATCAGCAGCGGTCGACACATTTCGGCTTCGTGGTGTCCTCTGCCCTTTCGGGGCTCGTTGTTTCAAACGTCATCCACAGATATACCCCCAGGATGGACTTCGAGATTCCGGTCCTGGTCGGCTTCGTCGCCGTTGGCCTCAGCACCTCGCTCATCTTGGCGATTCCCGAGCTTCTTTCTGCACAGCACGAGAACTACAGAGAAGAGGCCCCAGAAATCCTACTAGCCAACCCGCCCATCCGGCCGCTCTACCGCATTCTCTCCGCTCTAATCTCCTCCCGGGCTCTGCCTCTCCCCGCCATTTTCGGTCTTATCACCGCGCTGGCGAGAACGTCATCCTCTTCCCTCGACTTGTACTACGTCGCCAGCTTCAACTCGCCTGAGGCACCCAAAAACGCCTCGAGTACTTTCCGTGGCGACGTCGTGAGGTACTGGACTCCAGTCGTCGGTATATTCTTCATCAGCTGCGTCATTCTCCCCTCCGTATGTGGCTACCACCGAAGACCCTCCGGCGACAAGGTCGCGCTACGGGACTACCGCTGCCTCGTCGCCTCGACCAGTATCTTGGTTCTAGCCAGCATCTTCGTCTTATGCAAAGGAAAACTCTTCTCCCTCGGGGGTATCCTAGCCGCGGCCGTTGCCGCCACCGTCCCCGGACTGTGCTGCTCCCTGATGCTGTACGGGCTCGGCGTAGCCGTGCGGGCGAAATTCGCCGGCCGCCTCTTTGGCATCGTGGCGACGGTGCAGTGCGCGGCGACGTTGGTCCTCGCTCCGGCAATCGGCCTCGCTACGAGGAGGTCCCACGCCAACGGCATGCCAACGTGGCTGCTGTTCCTCATATCATTTGTCGTCTTCGGGGTTGTTTTGCACTCCAACGCGATTTGGAAAATCCCTACATGCGAGAGACCGGTCGCGAGGGGCGATGAAGCCGGGTTCGAGCTTTCGGATTTGGGAGAACTCGAACCCGCCCCTCCAGTGTATTCGGCTCACCAAGGAGATCGCCCTGCTCCGATGCCGATCATACGATAGCTTCTCCAAGATGTGTGGAAGCGTGTCATGCCATTACTTTATCGGTATTCAAGGATCCACCGTTGAGGGGCATCGGGGGAAAGGGGGGTTTGGAATGGTGAAAGAAGTTATTGCGGCCGAGAAATAATGGCAGTATTTTGTACACATGGGACGTCATCGATTCATTTTGGCACAAGAATGGGAGACTGTCGGGAAAGATGCTGGCTCTTGCCTTATGTTGACTTGCTAGATGGGTATCAAATGTAGTCTTACATATCCGGACGGAATCTCCGACGGCGAAATGAATTGATAGCTTGAATTCCTCACATTCGAGCTTAATCTTTCGACTGCGTGATTGGCTTTTGCCCATACACAACGTCGCTGTTGACCCGCATATCAGCAATCCGCTCCACGTCATCTCAGACCTGCCTGCCTAGGCAGAGACAGCACAGAAAAACAGAGGAAAGAGGGAGCGGGAAACCACAAAGAGAATCAACTTACAATTCAACCAAGGCATGGAAAGGGGGCGGGTTGGCTTTCAATTCCTTCTTCACACTCATAATCTCCACTTCCACCTCCTCCTTCGTCCGTCCAAGGACTTCAGTAAACAACTTCATAGAGAAGCCTTCTAACCCGTCAACAGTCAAAACCAGGTTCATCATACCCAAGTCTTTGTAATGTTGGTCTTTAACCCAGGGCGTGAGCGGCGCCTTGTACTTTTCGGCCGTGACATTGGTGAAGCCTGCCTCTCTGACTCGGTTTTCGTGCTTGGGTCCCGGAGTAGGGTCGCGTCCCACAGCCCTGATGGCGCTGAGAAAGCCTTGATTCCACTTGTACGTGGCGTGCTCCTTCGTGTAGCTGCCGTCCTCGGAGTAGAACTCGGGGTTCATGTCCAGGAGCTCTACCCAACCGCCCGGGTTTAGATGGCTTTTGCTTATCAGTACCAGTACTTGGGGTTGTTATACTCAGAGGAAAAGAGGAGGGGAGGGTTTCTTTACTCATAAATGTTTCGGACCAGCTTGGGCCAGTCCACGATTGAGGCTGTCATGTAGCGGCACATGATGAAGTCATACTTTTTGTGCGCGACCCAGGGGCTTTCGACGTCGTCAATCTCAAACTTGACGTTGGGAGGAACCCTTTTGTCGTCAGTCGTAATTAACAATAAGCGTCCAAGAGGACTGACCATTTGGGTTGAATGGCGCTCAAGTCATTCCCATGAACCTAAAAATGATATTAGCCTTCACAGCAGACGCGGAGAATATATCATAGCTTGCTTACCTCGGCATGTTCAAAAATATCACCCATTTCAACAGCCCCTACAAAATTACGTTATGAATTCCTACTCTTTCCACATCAAGTCGGGTTAAGTAGGGTTTCATACAAAGTCCGGTACCCGTTCCAATATCTAGAATCAAATGGACCTTATCCCATTCAAGAGGGGCATGGAAGAGCTTGCTGCCAGTCGCCTTGACAATCATCGCATGAGCGAGATCAAGTCGGTCCATCTCCTTCTAAATTTGATTTGTTAAACTTCTGCCTTTCGACTGGATACCTCGGGACTTGGAACAAACCTCATCATTTGGGAATTTGTAAGCTGAGGGTCATTTCAGATCTTGCGAGAGGAGAGCCAAAAGAAAAAGAGAAAAAAAAGGCAATATGTTCGGACGTACTGCCGGGTCGATAGGCGTGATACCGGCGACCATACTCCACAGGATAATCAACAACACTTGATGATAGTGAGGCGGTGAAATTGGAACTATAATTACAGTGCCTGATTAGCATCGGATGCTCGTCGCTCCGTCATACGAGGCCTCGTACATGCGCTCATCGATCGAGGAGGCATCGTCGGTTGTCTAGCATTTGTCCGTGTCAGCGATGCACTTGTCTACTGCCAACAAGACTAGAACACGTCACCAACATTTCCTTCTTCCTCGGGCTCAAGATGCGCCGTCGTTGACGGACTCTCCCCCGACACGGCTCTGGGTGAATCGGCCATTTCTACTTTCAGACTGCCTCCTCCGCGTATCGATCAATTCAACTTGAGGGGAAATCTCTCGATAGAGAAACAGAGCGAGAAAAGAGTGAGACGCAAGTTGCAACAACAGAAACTCCTTGTGACGGGACTGAAAGAGGGGTTTTGTAGGCATCTGATCCCCATAGTTTTGCGACATGGGTTTGATGAAAAACTGCGGCAGGCTGCAGAATCTCTAGAACCAACAGAGAGAGCGCAGCTTAACGGCCAATTGGCTCTGCTCGCTTCGAAATTTGTATGCACATGCAAGGCAAACAGTGGTTGACGCGCCTCGTGGTCCAACATCAGACACATTCATGTTCACCAACCCCCCTTTTCCGCCTAGATGGGAAGGCGGTTGTGCCATCCTGGCGTTACAAATGGGGACTTTGAGCTGTTAACTTCGCAACCGACCGGAGCTTCAGCTGGTTCTCTGTTCAGAGTACTCGGCCTTGGAAAGAAATGATGTGTGCCTTTGTCCTTGGTGTCTTAGTGTCTGCGGCAACAACCTTCGCAATGATCGATGGCGTCTCTTCTACGAGACCCAATGGCGCTGCGCGGATTGTCGGAGCCCTTCCGGCCGCAATGCAGCAGACGAGGTACAGAATGTATGCTCAACGAAGAGATGCCGCTGCTAATCTTGCACAACCTAGCAATCATCCCCGAAATAGCTGCCAGCAAGGCTCTCCTCATGTTCGTCTTCTTTTTCTTTCTCCCAGCTCCAGGAAGGGGAAGGGCACAACTGCCCAGCCCCGTCTCTTCCCGCCCTTGCCAGGTCGAAGTCCTCTCTGATATCGGATTCAGATGCTTTGGCTAGCTTAGCTTCGCTTCATCGAACGCGTATCGGTTCATCGGTCGAGTGTGGCAAGATAGAAATATTGATCTGCCGTAGACGACCGACTCATCGTCTGTTGCCTCAGACCGAGACGTTAAGCAGCCACAAGCCAGTATTTCATCAACACTGCAGCAGACAAGATCAAGCAATGGCTTCATTAGAAAATGTCCATGTCAGTATCATTGATCTGAGGGGAACCGTTATGAGAATGGTGAACCACATATTATATTACCCCCTCTACCCACGTGAATGATAAAGCGAGAAACCGCGTCAACTACACTGTCCGGTAGTGTCGTCTCGAGTTTTAAAACTGTTGGCCTCGTCAGTCATAAAGAATGAACTCACTTCTGCCGGGGACATATCAAACACCTTAGCCTTTGTCTGCCATCGGGCAACCGTCAACAGAGGCACATTTATATTGACAAGACACCTCGTAAAGTCCACCTACTTACAGAAACGAATTGTCCGTATCCATGTCCAGTAATCTCACGAGACACATTACTAAGCAATCAAATTCAGTCACTGAATAAAAGAGCAACTTCCGTAAAATATTGTTTGAATTGTCACATCTCTATTCAATGGACATATTGGTCAAGGCGTGGATGGGTTGACGTACACCCCTACAATCATTCCATAACCCTTCCATAAGTAAAAGGTAAATATCCATGACGCCAGTGCCTGTACATAAGAATCCTGCCCATCCAAAGTCGTCCCTCGGTCTGGTCCCGTAGGCCTATTCCGACCGGGTCGTCTAACAAAAGGTAGATACGAGAAAGAAGCATGGGAAGGCGTCCCTGATATATAGGCAAGTAAATAGTTATAAGTAAATCGTGATCAGGGCCGACGCCCATCGTATGGTTTTTTTTTTCTCATTTTCTTTCATTGGGTTTTCTCTTTTCTTAATCCTTCGTCGCGTGTTCATCGCCGAAAGGACTACGTCCCCTCTCGTAAGAACTTGTCCTTTGAGACCGCCTGTCGGGTCCGGCAGCGGCTCGCCTTGTTGCCTCTTCAATCACCGCACTCAAACTGTGGTTGCTGCGAACGGCTGCGGGAGAGGGCTCAGGAGGGTCGGAGAAGGGACCTTGGTCAACTGCCAGGCTTTCGGCAGCAGGTTCGCGGGCCACCGCAGATCTGCTAGGTGGCGGAGGTGTGCCTGGTGCAGAAACTTCTTCTGATGTTGATGATGCCTTGGATCCCACACTGACTTGCTTGGGTCCATTGCCGTTGCCTACGCGGACAACCTGCACTCTCTGGACAGGGGCGGCGGTGGCGGTGTTGGCGTTGTTCAGGAAGGTAGATCCGACGCTGAATGTGCTATCACGACTCTTGGGACGGCTAGGAGCGTACTTTGCATAGTCGACGCTGGGGACGGGAGGGGTGCTGCTGCCATTGGTGCCGACACCCATGGACTTGACACTGACTACAGCGGCCTTGGCGCGCATGCCGGTCTGAGCTGGTGCTACAACAACGGCATTCTTGCCGTAGATGGTGGAAGCGATGCTGGGAGCGATGCTAGATCGGGGAGCGTACGAGGTTCTCGCGACGGACGTGCGGTCAGAGTAGCCCGAGATGCCAGAATAGGTGGAATCACGCAATTCGCCAGGGACGAAGAAGTGCTGCTCCTCGTATGGTGACGGGCTGCTGGCGGCGGAGTTGGAGGCGTGCATCGGGATGGGGGGGACCGGGGGGACGAGCAGAGTTGGTGACGTAGGAGTGGCCCGGTTCGTGACGCCGGGAATGTAGGCGATCTGGATTATGTTGGAAGCGCGGGTGAGTACTGTCGATGCTATCGAGTGAACTGTGTGAGTTGAATCGCGGTTCGTTTGTCGTGGCTCGCCAGTGCTCTTCTCGTTGATCGTCTTTTCGTGGGTTGTCTCAGCGTAGGACTCCTGGATAATGGACTGTCTCTTCGTCTTGATGAAGAACCTCCAGACAAGGTATGTGGCGATTGCGATGACAGCCAGACCACCAATGACACCACCAACGATGGCGCCCGTATTAGGCTCGTTGCTTGACGAAGAGGAAGATTGGTTGTCGTCCTTGGCGCAGAAGGCCTGGGCACAGGTATTACACGTTGGGATAGTGAAGGAGCAGAATTCGTTGGACTTGCAGTTGCTTGGGCATGTCGGCGCCTTGTCCTCACACTTGAGGCAGCCGTTCTGTCTGGGCTGGATGACTATGGGGGACATGTCAGCAAATGAGGGATAGATGAGAGGCGACGGTGATGTTTGGCAACGTACCAGCTTCGAGCTCCTCGAGTGACCGGAGGTGAAGGTTAGGATCAAAATGAGCCATGATGAATGGCAATCTGGCTTTTGGGATGAATTGGCAAAAAAAAAAAAAAAAAAATAAGCCAGCGACGCTGATTGAGCGATGCCGATCGACGAAGCGAGGCTGTCGGGCGTAGAAATGTCGATCGAATCGGAGGGGGTAATCAGACGGTCGAATCGAGTGGACCGTTGGTCGGTACCAGGGAAACCGTGTCGTGCGTGTAGGGGAAACGGCAGTAGATATAGCGAATGGAGAGAAAGTAAACGTCGGGTCGATGAGACAAGTCGCAGTCTGCTAGGGGTTACACGTCGAGGAATGGATTCGTGGCGAGGCGAGGCTGGCGTGTCGGCGTGGGCTGGACTGGAATGGACGGGGCGATGTGCGAGGGAATTCGGAGCGGATAGAGTGAGAGTAAAAAGTAGTCGGGATAACGAGTGGACGAAGAGACTAGCTCGGCATTTGAGGTGGTGAAAAGAGGCGTTTAGGCGATTGAAGTGAAAGACATCAACGGCGGTTGTCGCTTGTCGGCCGCAAGTCGACGTCGACAGATTGACGGGGCTTGAATGTCTTTTGTCGTCGACGGGATCTTCTCTGGCTGGGCGGCGACGGGGAACCTGGAGATGTAGGGTGGAGGAAGGCGAACGTGGGAAAGGGCTGCTACGAAGGAAACGAAAAGTGAGTAGAGAAAGGCAGGCAAGACACCGGCGCTGGGCTGGTCTTGGCTTGGCTCGGCTTGGCTCGCGCTGACTGGATCGACTGGGGGGTTTGAAGTGAAGGGAACGAACGGGACGCCGGGAGGGGGTGAATGGGATGGGTTGGAAGGATGGATGGCATGGAGGAGCAGCGAGAAGGAGAGCGAGATGGGCTGCGTCCAGTCTGGGTTTGGTGCTGGTTCTACACGGGCGTTCGGCGGCAGCAGGCGGAGCGCCAGCTGAAAGGGGACGGGGAACCAAGGACGAACACCAACAGTGGAGAGAGCCGGGTCGATGAGGTAAGGTACCCAGGTACCTCTTACCTTAGGCGAGTAGGTCGGTGCGTGCCTTGCTTCCACGTCCAAGTGATGGAGAGTGGAGTTAGTGGACTGGGTGACTGGCACGACTTGGGTTGGTGAAGGCGCAAGGGGGGGAGGAGAGAGAGGGGAGGAGGAGGGGGCAGCGAATCTGCGGGACACAGGCACGAGATTGAGAGCGTAGGGGTAATACTGTTGGCGAAACGTGAGGACCGGGGCGGAAACCCCCTCTGATTGGTGACCATCCCCAGATGGCAAGAGCAAAAGGGGGGCACTGCTCGGTTGTGGATCCCTTGATTCCCCCGACACCCCTGGCTAAGGTACCTTGGAGCCGGGCGAGGGTCCAAGGTCTGGACTGTGCAGCAAGCCCATCCCATCCACAAATCCATCCATCATCTCCTCCTCGCTGCATACTGCAAAGTGCCAACAGTGACCTCGACCAAAGGCAGTAAAGTGCCCAGAAACCCCGAGCCAGACCTCTGCGCCGTCGGCACCGTCAACTCTTGAAGTACCTCGAGCTGTACTACCTTATTCAGTGTGGTGCACGCTGTTTGTGGACATTGGCGCGCCATTTTCCAGCAATTTCTCACCTCGCCTCTGCCAATCAGACCACGCCAGAGCCAGAATTGAGCCATCTCCACCGTCATACGCACTCTCCACGAGTCGACAACACCTTCGGCGGAATATCACTTCCATGCTCTCAATTGGGCGATATTGGGAGAGGCTCGCATCCTGATGATCCTGATGGCTGCAAGTGCACAGTGCAATCTACCGTGTATTGCCTCCAGGCTCCCTCTTCGCGGGTAACGGGTTGGCTATTGGTAGGGAACCCATGCTCACTGCCTTTGCAGAATGCTTCGTCAAACAAGCGAGCTACGCGGTTGCTACGCAGCTCGGCAGTGGCAGTCCATCGTCCATGGAGCATTAATGTTGTTCGTCAATACAATAGAGTTCGTGCGTCCCAACCTGACAACCCGCCCGTCGTCCGATACGAGCGAGCGAGACATGACACGGCCTTTCTCTCCTAATCGGCAAACACAAGCTCTGGCACAGAATAATTCGTCCCAAACAGGATAACCCGATTCACGATAGGTTTGAGCTCTTCTCAAAAAGGGAACAAAAAGGGACCCGATTCCACAGTTTCCCACAATTAACTGTTTCCGAATCTCACAAGAAACCCGGCCCTCTTACAAAACTCCTGTTAAGCTTCAATTCTCCTGGTATCCGTACAGTCGACCGTTCTTTCGCGCCGTCGACGTCGCACCGTCCCACCTCAGGGACGCCTGGCATCCTGATCCCTTACAAGTATGGTCCTGCAGCGAAGCTCAGTCGGCCCATGCAGCAGTACACCACGCCAGAAACATCACGATTGCCGACTCAGCCCCCCCGTTTCGACTCAGAAGATCTCAAGATACGAACTCAACTGAAACGAATGGGGTTCAGTGACAGCGACAGCGGGACGGCATCATCACCGGCGAGCTAATCGCGCCACAAGGCCGTCAACGAGGACCGTGAGGGACTGAGGGTTGACAAACTGGGCCGACGATGTTCTCACAAAACGCCGTTGCGTGTCAGGCATCCATGTGTTCTTGCCAATTATGAGTTGCAAAGAAACCCCCACACTTGTTCACCACGAAGTTCGCACCATTGTCGAGTATCGAGTCTTGAGTATGCTGCTTGCCTAACTGGCGCGTCGTGTTTCCAACATCGACCCCGCTGCCCCTGCCTGTTCAGTCAAGCGGAAGCCAAGTTGTCAGGGCGCTGTGACATGTTCAAGGGCTGTCGCAGAGGAGGGCTCTTGCCTAGCTCGAAATCCCGTATTCTGAGGCATTGGGTCCGAAACTTCGAAACAGACAACGAGAACGTGCGCTCGCGGGGCCCTGGGAGGCCATGGGAGCTCTAGACCACGAGATCTGCGCTCACCACTCTAGGGGTTTTCTTCTTGGCCTTCTGTGAATGGAGGGACAACGGTAGAGTTCACCCTTCTCATCCGACAGCAAGGAGCGCTGCTGCTCGAGAGAGATGTTTGTGGAACCGGGGGCTTGGGGCGATCACATCCACCGGCCGCCCTCCCGCCGAAAGTGCTCAAGCTTTGAGAAAAGATGCACCGGGCAACACCGCATCGCACCGCACGCACGCTCCCTCGACCTCTGGGTAATGCAGGGCACATTAGTGTCCGGCGGACCAACCGCCACACCGCGTGGTGAAGATGGCAGACGTCGACATTCCAGGTCCCATACGTACCGAGCGCTAATACTGCATTGCACATGCCTCCGTCAGGCCGCAGGACGGCATTCCGTGCGTACTGCTAGTACGGCATAAGCGGCTCCGGACTTTCGCCTGCTGACTGTGTATCCTGCCCTACTCGGTCTTGGTATTTTTCTAAGTCATTTTCCCCTTGTTTGCCAAGATATCTTATCCTTAGCTCCGGTCAATCATAGACTGAGCAAGCCAATTTGCTCCGACTTTGCCAACTCATTTGATATTATTTTGTTACTCGGCTGCAGTCGCTGCCAATTGAGGCAGGCAAGGAGATGAACCAAGAGCGGCCTGCAGAGAGAAGAGATTCGATGGACGGCAGAAGGAGATGTTGGTTCGCCAAGGGCACCGCTGCCAAAGAAGCAAACCTACGAAACCTGCGAGACCTTCGTCCAAGCCTTTTCCTCTCCCGAGATCAGGTGTCTGAACCAATCACGAGCTACCTTGCACCGGGAAGAAGCAAAATCTAATCTCTATTTACCCTCCCCTTCCCTGTCAGAGCTCTTTTTTCGTAACCTTTGAATTTTATTCACAAACTCTGCATTGCCGTCTTGATTAAGCACCCGTGACACCCAATTAATTACCTCCCAGACCCGACCCGAACGACTTTTCCTTCCCACCCCAATCTTTTCCACTCTCCACTTTCTGAGTCCAGCCCATGGTATTTACTATGTCCCAGGTCTGCCTAATGGACCAATCGCAAGCTCACAAACCGGCTCTGCAAGTTCCCGCCCGCGTATGTTGGCCGCTCGAAGCTAAGTTTCTGGAATACTCCAGATCCGGACTCCAAGCCAAGATAAAATAGACTCGTTTCTTTGTCTTTTGCTTTTTCTTTTTTTTAACACAACTAGTAATGACGCGGGCACCCGCTCTGGAGGAAGCTACTGCCTCTTCGCGCCATTTTTCTTCCTTTATGATTTTGATGAGCTGCATAAATTAGTCTCGTCTGCAGATTCCTGGGAGGTGCAGCAAGCACAAAGAAAACCTTGGCAAGCCTTGTTAGCCGCTGGAGGCAAATCACCTCTTCCTCAACATTGGTAGAACAGTCTCCCTCCGTTGGACACGTGAGGTTCGAGTCCCGTTGTCGTCGTTGGTGGTTTCCCCCGCGATGCCTCTTCCGGCACGGGTGAGACTTCCGGTTCCGGATTCGGACGGGAGGAGAACAATGTCGAGTCCAGGTGGCAGTGTTTTTCTTTTCTAGAAGATGAATGAGACATCGTGTCCGTTGAACACGCGGTGAGCGATATCGATGTCACGTTGCCTGTTCCGGCGTTGTGGAGATCTATCGGGTGTTGTAAGGGCCGAATGTGAGGCTTTTTTTCGTTCTCTTTCCCTCGGACTAGAAGACATTTGAAGGCTAGAAGAGCGGGTAGAATTTCTCTTCTTCGATGAGCGCGCGGTGAGAAGGGGTCCTTGTGTTGTGACGATGCCTCATCCGGCGTTCAACATTCGAAGAAGCCATCTGCCAAGAGCACCTTTCTAGAAGGTCTAGAAAAGAGAAAGGGCTGAACGTCATCGTTTGAGACGTGATGGTAAGTACCGAGACGGGTACCGCTACAGTCTACGTCCTTTTCCGGCGGTCTTGGAGGATTGTGGGTTTCCAGAGAGAGACGGGGAGGGAACAGAAGCATGCGATTTCAGCTTGTTTGGATGTGTGTGAGTTCGTTGAGTGTGTCGATATCGTTGGGATCCGGCCTTGGTAAGAATTTTGCGTCTTGGCTGGTGGCATCTCTTGCGTCAGAAGTCTGATGTTTGTGATTTGTTACAATGATTTGGCGTCCGCTGGTGGAGGCTATGTCACGACGTGGCAGCTTGGCTACGGGTTTCTCATAGGAACTGGGTGTATGAGATTATCATGGTGCCTTGTCGAGGGCGCCGCCGCTTTGCAGAACGTTGGGAGAACTGCCTGCTTCTCAGAGTTGTTTCCCTGCAATACACTCCTTTGAGCGAACGTCTGCTTTGCCATGGGCTGTATGGGGTAGCTGAGATCAACCCTCCAGTGTACCTTGTGATTTCCTGGATAGACGTCGGGCTGTGAAACCGAGAAGATGACTAACTTGCTGAGATATCTGAGGAGTGTGTTATGATACTGCGCTTCCCAAACCGCCGATAGGAATGTAGAAACATGCGTGGACGGTGAATTCGGCGTTACCTAGCTACATGTATGGATGGAGTACGCTGGAGGATTTTCGAGACGAGTGTGGTCGGTTGACGAGGGTATGCCTGATCGAAGCAACGACATGGCCACACTAGATGGGAAGATTTGAATTGAAGCCTTGGCCTCTGTAGAGACTCGGCTTTTGTTTGCGGACTGAGAACCACGGAGTCATCCTAATCACATGGCTACGAGTACCTGGATGATGTTTAGGTGTACACATCTAGATCCCACTGAGTTCCCATGAAAACTACTAGACGGAGAGTCTCGTGAGCTCGTGTCTGTTTCGTGTGTCATCGGTCTACTCCAAGCCCGCACAGAGCACGCATTTACCTTAACGCTCTTCGCTAGACCCCAACGCCGGATGACCGGGGACTACATGCCGGCAGACTTGATTAGTGAAATGGAAGCCATGCAAGACGTATAGTCTTCGGAATATCTGACAAGATATCAGAGCCTCATGAAGATATCTGGCCCTTTCTATACCCCTGGCGAATATTACCGTAGTCTTCGAGGTTGAGAAACCGCTATTTTCGCTTCACTGAAGGTATTCCGAAAAGGTGTGTATGGCAGTCATTTGTTTAACTGCCTTAGGATCTATCGCACCGGTCTTATGGAAAGAATAATAAAAAGACGGAGAGAGAGAGATGGAGAGATGGAGAGATGGAATGAGACCCAACCCCGGAACTGTTCGCAATTATGTTGTGAATCAACCGTGATGAATGTGTCCTTTACACCACGGTCGACGAACCGAACAGGGTGCTACATTACTGTCGATTCCGCCCCCTATTGTCCTTGATCGGAGATGAGAGTGTGACGTACAATTGAAAGACAGAGCTGCGACACAGTAAATAACGTTCAAAGTATCTTGTGAACATCCGCCACGTGCCTTTCCGAGCTTCACTCTGAAACGGACTCGGCCCGGATCAGTGACCCGTGACCGAAAATATCGTGATATTACATTCGCAGCCTCTTACAAGTTTGGGAAGATGATCGGGATGCAGAGACACACCATGAGGAAATCGAAGGCAATAACAACAGTGGCGGAGAGGCGTCCCATGTCATGTGGTGAGGATGGGCATACATATACATCTGTAGTCTGCCAGACTTGCGCGCCAGTCGTCTCTGGACAGGTTGACTGAAGAATGCGCAAAATCTCTCAAATCCAACATAACTTGGATGTATGACAAGATCCACGAGCAGGCAGCACAGTTCGCGTTATCCCACTCAGAGTAGGAGGAGATACTACGAGTCATCATATACTTGACGAGCCGAGGGAAAGTTGTCCTGGAAATGCTTTAACAGTGCAGTTTCACCAGAAAATAGGTACATGGAGTGGAATCAGGGCATGGCACGGACAGCCGCCACCACCAACACGAGCATCCCGTCCTGTCAAGGCTCTTACCACTCCCCGGAAGAAGATTTGACAAAGGTATTTCATTGGGACATCTCGTGATCCCTTGGCCTCGCGGGGACATACCAAGCTGCCAAGGAGACAGACATGACGGGCATCAAACCTCGCTCCCCATGATTGTGAAACTTGGGAGCAATTCAAAAAGGGCATCAGAAGCACCGATCACCTCTCTCTACCTTGCTCGCTTCCCCCAAAAGTCGCCTTCCTGAGTTACGCATGTCTCATTGCTCATCCCAATCACATCAATGTCGTCCACCTTCGCCATAAAAGCAGTCATCTCGTCTCACATCTCGACTATGACCATCCACCATACAAGTTGTTTCAAGGGCATGGCGAAGGTGTAACATCCTTGAGCACATTCGAGGTCTCTTTTCTTGCCGACATCATACTGCTCTAAAGAATCACCGTGAAAGGCCCAGGATAGGCAACCAACCACATTGCAGGAAAACCCCAAAGTCATACATATATCAAGCCTAACCTTCATTGTCCCAAGTTCGACGTGTCCGAAATCTGAAGCCTCAAATATTGTTCAAGGATGGCTGAGAGCCTCACATCACAACCAGCGGACCCGCCAGCGGCCCATGGCTCTCCTCGCTTGAACATAGCCCAAACGCAAGACCGGTTCAGACCCTGCCCCTCTCCTCCACGTCGATGTCTATGAAAGAAGGGAATCTATTCCACGAACAGAAGATTGTACTAAGGGCTGGACGTGTCTTGTTCCCCGGCAGCTATGAAGGCCCCGGCCGATCCCAAAGAACGTGTCAGATCTCACCTAGGTAAACCGGGGGATCCGATCCGATCTTGTCCCCGCACAAATCTGTGATAACTCAGGTCAATTATGACACGAGGGTTTTCTGGCGATAATCGAGTCATTTCCAAAGTCTTGGCCATATACATCCTTTTATGCAACCCCCACCACAGCCATGTTCAAAGTTTAGAGTGAACGACAAGGAGAAGTAACATTAAGAATTTAAGAATATGAGTGAGTTTTTTTGGCGGCTGATTTGCGTTAGAAACATGGGGGCCACTTGCTGAACCAGGAAAGCAAATTCAAAGTTAAAAGACATTGGTTTGCCAAACCGGACGAACCACTTAAATTTTTTTTGACTTCATACTTTCCGAGGCTCCGACATTATTGCGGTCCGATGCTCTGACTAGCGAGACGTCACAAGCAAGCAGCTCCCGGCACGAGCCCCATGATGTCAGTAAGTAGCTCGTTTGTTGCCAATACCACTTCATTCACACCCTAGATGAGTTGGCCTTACTTGTCAACGCCGAAGATGTGGATTCAAAAAAAAAAAACAAGAACACTATCGCCTGGTCTTTTCCTGACTCGGATCCAAATGTTAATAGCCAGCTTTGGTGGAGGGCGACGGCTTTGTCATGCGAAGCGAAGCTGCAGTCGCTGGATAAACGTTTCCCACCCTGACCCCAAGGAATCTCCGCATCGGACTTTGCATTGTGTACTTCTTCCACGATGGCTTTCGAAACTCTGTCGCCATTTCTCGCACTTGACTGAAAATACCTGCCTGTCCTGAAAATTGGCCCAAACAAAGGGCATTGGCCGAAAACTGATACGGTGTCATCATATACGGAGAAGGGGTTCTATCAACCGCACGGGCAGCCTGGCGTACTTGTAATTCCGAGGCAGAGCAAATGCGAGTCAGGAAGCTGGGATACCTGCTTCGGTTGATGTTGTCGAGCTGAACGGATCGCACGCCGTGCCTCACAATCAAAAAATCCTCATGAAGGGCCTCCGTCTGATATTGGGCCCAAGAATCCTTCAAGGTCTGGTGCATGATCCCCTTCTGCCTGCCAAAACACGTCACTTGGGGTTCGACTTCGCCCCAAGCCAACGCGCAGCGCCTTCACTCGTGCTTTTTATAGTTTAGTCACGGCGAGCCTTCCACATGCCGGGCAAGGTAGTGCCCTGATCGCGCGCTGAGCGAAAACAAGCTTCTGAGGCCTGCCGCCTGCGGCTTTGCTGGGATGACTTCCATGACATCGGCAAACTTCTCGCCCTAGCGGTCATAGCATTGAGTTGCGGGAGGCCCCTTTACCCCAGGCCGTCGATCACGCCCACGAACAATATCCCCTCTGTAGCACAAAAGTCCGTTGTAGTGGAGGTTTCAGGGGACAGGGAAAGACGGTGTGAGGACGCTGATAGCCAGTCGTTGCATAAGCCGGCGGGGGAACGGTATCCTTCCACCAACCAGCGCCGCAGCCGTGGCTGCTCCAGCCACACCGCAGCGACGGCCTCGCCGACACTTTTGTCGGGGCACCCGTGCTGGAAGGATGCGTAGGCGCGCCGGAGAGGGCTATGGACGGAGCCGAGAAACGGAGTCGCGGCATTGAAGTATGCGAGGGCCTTCGCCGTGACCAAATGAGCCGATGCCAAAGTCTGCTCGTCCGAACATATTTCGCGCGTCACGAAAGCAGTCAGAGGCGAAAACGATTGCGACTTCTTTCGCCACGGTTCCTGAGGCTGGAAATCTTCGTCTCATGTCCGCAGCTGGGAGTGGCCGAACTGGATCCGGGTCGAGGATGTTGGCTCGCTGTCCAAGTCACAATTTTCAAAAACCCATGTGGAGAGGGCCCGGTTGCCGCCCCTCCGAGCAGGTGCTATTGAACGAGCGTTGAGCCGACTGATGGCCGCGTAGGGCAGAGGGTCGCCAACATTATTGGATCCCTCCATCTGTAAATCGAGGAGTATTCCGTACAGCTTGCAGATGTGGTAGTGTAGCCACTAGGGCTGATGATGGCTGAGGCTCGGAACTGGCCGCAAGCGTGTTGAGCAGTACAGCAGTTTGCGACTCGGAGTGAGGAAGGCGTAGGCAGCCGCTCGCTGGACCGGGGCAAATCCCTTTGTGTCAGAAGTGGTGAAGGCATGCTAGCGTCCAGAAGGGTGGAAAAGTGCATCCATCGCTGTGCAGCGATGCGAGGCATGGTGGGTGCACCGCCTCAGCCCCATTCGATCAGCCCCAGCCCAATCTTACTATTTTTGGGTCTTCTCCTGACGGATCAACGTATCCGAACTGGGCAGAGGGAACAACAAACAAGTTGCAGGTGGAAGACAGAAGGTCGAAATCTTGAATCTCCAGTCTGGTGGGGGGAGGGGGGTGTATGCCCTCGACGCAAATCTCGGATGGAATTTCGTCGTGTTTGGTCGCTACTGCGACAGTCAGTGCGGCGAATGACAAGGATCAGGCGTGGCAGAAAAAGAGAAGAGGACCAGGAGGGCATAATGACTGACAAGCTCGAGACATCGGACTGATCTAATGTGGTATTTGGGCCGTGTGAGGGAAACAACACAGAGGAGAAAATTACAGCAGGTTCCATGTCGTTGACGAGTGAAATTTGCAGGCCTGGGAAGCACGAGCAAGCATAGGCTTGTCATAGTTGTTCATGGTGTCGACTGGCGGTGGTGCCTGTCCATGGGGATTGGTGAGAGGGGATTTGGCTGGGAGCTGGTCAGCTGGGAGCTGGTCAGCTGGGAGCTGGTCAGCTGGGAAAAGCCTAGGCGCTGGGTAAGGCGAGGGGGCACGTTTCAGAATGTTCGTGGAAGCCGCAGGATCCCGGGCGACAAGTGGGCCGTTAAGAGGTACATGCGTCTCACATAGATGTGGAGGGTCAAACAAGCGGCGCCACTAACAAGCCAATGTCGTTTCTTTAAATGCTCGTTGCTTCATCCGGGTTCTTTCGCCGGGCTCTACCTTTGCACTCTGGAGTCTGACGGGAGAAGTGATAGGCGGCTGTGGCTCTCTGCTTCTGGGCCTTTCAATTTCATGTCTTTCTTCTGTCATGCCCTGACAGACCCCTGGCTTGGAACACCCTTGGGAATGCTTGTCAGCTTGCTGCGTTCTGTCTCCCGTCAGCTTTCTTCCTCCTCTGTTAGTTGCTGACTAGGTAGCTGCAGTAGATGGGTATCGTGTGCTGTACTCTCTAGCGTGTCTTGACCCTCTCTCTGCTCTGCAGAACCTAAGCTTGAGTCTGACAGCAATGATGAGATGGAAGGGGGGGTCGAGGAACGACAACGGAATGAAAAGTCTGCCGAACATGCGCCACTGTTGGTGGCTGTTCCTTGCCGCTGCACTGCTCGTTCCTCTTCCCAATTGAAACCAAGGATGATGGCTGAATTGTTGGTGGTGGCACGACAGATGCCGGTAAGGGGACGGCGTTTCTTTTAGCTTTCGCCTTCGCCTTCGCCTTTTCCTTGCCAGTGCATCCATCCATCACCGCAACATTCCCCTAAAGACAGCCCATCATTGAGCCAGCGACAGGTGTGCTTGGCCGGCTCTGCTCGCTGTTGCATGCCCCTCCTTCTCCTGAAGAGCAATTGTTAACAGCAGATGGGCGTTAATTACGAGGTGTTTCTGGAGCTGATCCTAACCCCAAATGGACCGATTGAAGGCGCAAGGCCAAGGGGTATACGAAATGCAAGGGCCAAGGGAGTAGCGGCCGGGGGTTTCGACTTGGGGGAGACGTGACGTAGTTCGACGCGGGCCCGGTTTTTATTTTCCCCAAGAGTGCAACCTTCAGAAACGTCCATGGTGGAAGTGCGATTCGACTGGTTGCCGGCCAGCTCGTGATGAGCATCGGCGCGGTTGTTGTCTTGCTTTGCTGCACTGCTGCTGGTTGGTTAGCAACGGTTAGCGACAGCAACCGCGACCACCCGACCAGGTTGCTAGGATCCATCATGAAAGAACCTGAAGGAGGGAAGGAAAAAAAAAAACGGAGTGACAGGGGTAGCGACGGGCCACGGCAATGGCTTTCCTGGCTGGCACACGACCGGGACCAGGACCACTTGCTGGCCTGGGGACGAGACTGATGCCAGCCCTTCCCAGCCAGTCCATTCGTTGTCTGTCACTTGCGCAGTAGCGCACTGACTTCGAGGTTTCCGAAAGGTGAGCTGAGGTTAAGTGATGGATTGACTGCGTAGACAGTGTCCCTTGATCCGTATCAAGGAGAGGTCGTGTTTGTGTCAATGACCCCTCAATGTACATGGGTATACCGACTCAGGGAGACGGGAATGATAGTAATGATGGTGCTGGTGCTTTTGCTCGGGTTATGTTGTGTTGTTCATCGTGCAGCAACGCGATTCCTGGGCTAGGCAGCGCTAAGCCACAGCTTCCCCAGTCTGTTGACGTGAGGTGAGAATATGGAGCAAGCTAATGAAAAGGGACCAGAAAAAAAAGACGGGAGGTACCTTTTCTTCGCATTGCTGCAGAGTATGGGGCCGGGTACCTCTGGTTTTTTGTGTCTACCTACATTGGATCGAGGTGCAGAAAGCAGAAACATCGAACGGCAGCACAGCACAGCATACGTAGCCAAGGTCGGTAGGTACGAACATTCGTAGTTACCTAGGTAGGAGAAAAGTAGCGGCGAGTCTCATCTCCTTGTTTGTACCTCATCCCAAGGAAACAGGCTGGGGAGGGATGCACAAGTGACTTCTCCTATTCCCATGCCGCACCATCTCTATGTACCTTTCGTCCTTGAATTTGGTCTCCCTCTCCCTCTCTCTGCAGCAACGCAACTGTGAGGTAGCTACCGAGTCCCATCCTCATCTTTGCCCACCTCAGCCCAGTTGGGCCAATCCTAGAGCTATTCTAATCCATCCTCACTACCCTCGGCCATCCTATCCACCTGGCGCTTCCACGCTCACTCTTACCCAGCTGCAAGTTTCTGGTTCCCGCCAAGCAAGCCGCCAGCCCGTCAGGACCCTTTTTTAACCAGTTACTGCCCCGTCCTGCATCACCATCCTCTCCCCTTCTGCTCCTCTCGCCCCCCAACCCTCCATCCATCTTCACATCTTTCTTCTTTTTTTCCCTCCTTCGCTTCACCAATCGTCACTGGGGTTGTGGCTTTCTCGGCCGCACATCTCTCTTACCTACAAAGCCTTTGTTCGCGCTCAACGCGTGACACAGCCAACCTGACCTAGGCCTCTACCCGAGTCCCTTGGCTTATGATATAATCAACCCTACCTAATCCCACTCGCAACGAAGCAGGAAAAAACGTTTCTCATCACTCATCACATCCCTACCAGCATCAGCTACTCCTGATCTCGCCTCTAGCAATCATGGCTTACCGCGGGGGGCATGACAACGACTACGATGGCGGCCATAATATGCAGGACCTTCCGCCTGGATCTGGCAGAGGAGTAAGCTTCACCTTCCCCCTTCGCTCACCGCGCAAAGTGGCTCAATTGCTGACCTGGATATTTCCCCTAGTACCACTTGCCTCCTCAAGATGAGGGAGTCGACGAAGCCGGCCAGTCCCTTCTGAGAGACCCTCACGCACCTGCTCCTTACGAGAGCCACCTGGGAACTGGCGAGTCCCCTGGCCGCCCAGTCTCCGCATACAGCCTCACAGAATCATACGCTCCTGGTGCCGGTGCTCGGACACCAGTTCCTGGCGAGACGGCCTTCGCGTCTGGGTACAGCAATGAGCTCGACTCGGATGCTGGTGGTTTTGGCTACGGCAGACCCGCCTCCACCGTGGATGCCGACGAGAGCTGGACCCGCAGACAGCAGCCTGGCAACCAAGGTGGCGGTCTGAAGCGTTACGCGACCCGTAAGATCAAGCTTACTCAGGGTTCCGTCCTGAGCATCGACTACCCAGTTCCCAGTGCCATCAAGAACGCTGTCCAGCCCAAGTACCGCGATGTCGAGGGCGGTAGCGAAGAGTTCATGAAGATGCGCTACACCGCCGCCACTTGCGACCCCAATGACTTCACCCTCAAGAACGGTTACGATTTGCGCCCGAGAATGTATAACCGACACACCGAGCTTCTCATCGCAATCACCTACTACAATGAGGACAAGGTGCTCCTCTCCAGAACTCTCCACGGTGTCATGCAGAACATTCGGGATATCGTCAACCTGAAGAAGTCCACTTTTTGGAACAAGGGCGGCCCAGCTTGGCAAAAGATTGTCGTATGTCTGGTTTTCGACGGTATCGAAAAGACCGACAAGGCCGTGTTGGACGTTCTCGCAACTGTCGGTATTTACCAGGATGGTGTGGTGAAGAAGGATGTCGACGGAAAGGAGACTGTCGCTCACATTTTCGAGTACACCTCCCAGCTGTCCGTCACACCCAACCAGCAGCTTATTCGCCCCGTCGACGACGGCCCTTCCACCCTTCCCCCTGTGCAGTTCATTTTCTGCCTGAAGCAGAAGAACAGCAAGAAGATCAACTCTCACAGATGGCTTTTCAACGCCTTTGGTCGCATCTTGAACCCCGAGGTCTGCATTCTCATCGATGCCGGTACCAAGCCCAGCCCCCGCTCATTGCTCGCGCTTTGGGAGGGCTTCTACAACGACAAGGATCTCGGTGGTGCTTGCGGTGAGATTCACGCCATGCTGGGCAAGGGCGGCAAGAAGCTGCTTAACCCCTTGGTTGCCGTCCAGAACTTCGAGTACAAGATCTCCAATATTTTGGACAAGCCTCTTGAGAGTTCTTTCGGATACGTCTCTGTGTTGCCCGGTGCGTTCTCCGCCTACCGCTTCCGTGCGATTATGGGTCGCCCGCTTGAGCAGTACTTCCACGGTGACCACACTCTCTCCAAGATCCTTGGTAAGAAGGGTATCGACGGAATGAACATTTTCAAGAAGAACATGTTCTTGGCCGAGGATCGTATTCTTTGCTTCGAGCTGGTTGCCAAGGCCGGTCAGAAGTGGCACTTGTCGTACATCAAGGCCGCCAAGGGTGAGACCGATGTTCCGGAGGGTGCTGCTGAGTTCATTTCTCAACGTCGTCGTTGGCTCAACGGTTCCTTCGCTGCCTCTCTATACTCTCTCATGCACTTTGGTCGCATGTACAAGTCCGGCCACAACATCATCCGCATGTTCTTCTTCCACGTTCAGCTCATCTACAACATCCTCCAGGTTATGTTCACATGGTTCAGTTTAGGTTCTTACTACCTGACTACAACGGTAATCATGGATCTTGTCGGTACCGCAGTCACTTCCGATGACCCCGAAGTGGCCCGCAGCGGATGGCCCTTTGGAGACACCGCCACTCCTATCGTCAACGCCCTTCTCAAATACCTCTATCTGGCCTTCGTTATTCTGCAGTTCATCTTGGCGCTGGGTAACAGACCCAAGGGTTCCAAGTATACCTACATTGCCTCTTTCATCGTCTTCGGTCTCATCCAAACCTACATTCTCGTCCTGTCGATGTACTTGGTCGTCCAGGCTTTCCAGAAACCCATCGGCCAGCAAATCAGCCTTGATTCTGGCGAGGACTTTGTCGCCAGTTTCTTCGGAGGTACGAACGCCGCCGGTGTCATTCTCGTCGCCTTGGTTACCATCTACGGTCTTAATTTTATCGCTTCCTTCATGTACCTCGACCCCTGGCACATGTTCACCTCGTTCCCTCACTACCTGGTGCTCATGTCGACCTACATTAACATTCTAATGGTCTATGCCTTCAACAACTGGCACGATGTGTCCTGGGGTACAAAGGGCTCAGACAGTACCGAGGCTCTGCCTTCAGCACACGTCAGCAAGGGCGAGAAGGACGAGGCTGTGGTCGAAGAAATTGACAAGCCGCAAGAGGATATCGACAGTCAATTCGAATCGACGGTCAAGCGTGCACTGGAGCCTTTCAAGGAAGCCCCAGAGAACGAGAAGCCAGACATTGAAGACTCGTACAAGTCTTTCCGTACCGGTCTGGTCGTGTCTTGGCTCTTCTCCAACACCTTCCTTATCATTGTCATTACGAGTGATAACTTCGACTCGTTCGGCATTGGCGTAAGTTCCAATATCCCGAAACATGATTCAATTGCCATACTAAGTCTCATTTTTTTAGAAAACTTCATCAGCACGCACTGCTTCTTATTTCAGCTTCCTGCTGTACTCTACTGCTGTCCTATCACTTGTCCGCTTCTTCGGATTCCTGTGGTTCCTGGGCAGGACCGGTATCATGTGCTGCTTTGCCAGACGGTAAGCAGACAAAAAGGGGAGATCATCCAACGCAGCGACGAATTTCTCGATGCTATTTGGATGTGTACCAGAGGGCAGACTGTACTCTTGCCAGCTTTGGCTCATTACTACGCCGGTGTTTTACATTCATGGTATGTGTTTAGTAATAAAGGACATGGAACTCGACAGATTCTTGATGAAGTGGGCCGAAGCTCAGCAAAAGTAGTTTTGATTAAGCAGCATTCATGGCGTTTTACATGGATACAATACCTTACGCTTGGTATCAGACAATGACAATGATTTTAAACATGAACTTTTCAATTTATACGGATGACTTGCCAGAGACGTGCTAACCTGATATGAGATTCACGACAATTTAGGCAGAAGGTGTATTTACCAGATCTTTTGCAGTTGCAGGCGAGCATGTATGCGGCAAAAGAAGACGAAGCTTCCGCCCAACTTGGTGGCTGCAGGTAAGCGCGCGGGTGCTCGCCGATCATGATACTTGGACGTTCAAATTTCTGAACGACCACCCGTCTCAAAGACTACCGGAGGTCCCTACCGTGCCTACCTACCTCTGTACCTTGAAGTACGTTTTCGTCCTTTTAAATCTTCGCCTGTTCAGACTGTTGATCTTCGACAACCGAGACCTTGGTTGAGTGGTTCGGTAGATCCCCGGGGAAATAGTAACCCGACCTTATCTTATCGCATCCAGAAAGTGACCGCATTGACTGGTGCCCACCTCAGTTGGTCCGCTCCTCCAGGCACCTTTCCGCCGCAAGATCGCAAGACTCCGGACGGAGACTATTTCACCATACTGTTGGTTGACTGTTTGGCCTCCGCGCAAACACCATCTCTTCAGGAATCTACACCCTCTCCCCAGGTTGTGTGTGTTTCTTCCTTCTACACCTCGTCCCTCACACTGGGCGCCCCACCAAGGAACCCCTCCCAACATACCCCCCGCCAAAGATCCAACAAGATGCTGAAGATTTGGTCTATGGTACGTGACTGCCGGAACCTCTCGGTAAAGGGTGCTACTAACACCCCTTACAGAAGAAGGAGCAGCAGAAGGCTGAAAATGCCGACGCTGCTGGTGGCAAGAAGAAGAAGGTGACTGCCGCGCAACTTCGTGTGCAGAAAGGTCTGAACCCCTCAATCAGCCAAGAAAACCCCGACCTTGCTGCTGACATTCACTTGTAGATCTCTCGGAACTTTCTCTAGGGTCAACGATGAAAACCGACTTCCCTGATGCCGACGATATTCTCCACTTCACGCTTACGATCGAGCCCGATGAGGGCATGTACCGGACCGGACGATTCACTTTTACATTCGACATTAATCAAAACTTCCCCCACGAGCCGCCGAAGGTTCGATGCAAGGAGAAGATCTACCATCCTAATATCGATCTGGAGGGCAAGGTGTGCTTGAACATTCTGCGCGAAGACTGGAAGCCCGTCCTCAACTTGAACGCGGTCATCGTCGGACTCCAGGTATGTTTGAGAATGTTGAGCACAGCTGTAAGTGGGCGCCGACTAACTGAAATCTTTCGCAGTTTCTGTTCCTCGAGCCGAACGCCTCTGATCCTCTGAACAAGGAGGCTGCCGAAGATCTTAGGCTCAATCGTGAAGGATTCAAGCGCAACGTCCGTACCGCGATGGGCGGTGGCTCTGTCAAGGGGCAGAGCTACGACCGTGTGTTGAAATAAAGTCAACAGTAGTGGAGGGATTGCGTCCTTTTTCCTGTTGGACACTCCCCTCACGACACAACCCTTTGACGAGACAAGAGGCCAACCCAGATTTGATACCAGAGACGCACGGACGGGCTGTTGGTCGGTAGAAGGGCGGAATGCGCATCTGAAAGGTCGGTGGGCATCAAAAACAAGCATCATCGTCCGGCGTTTAGGGAGACAAGATTACGAATTACAAGAGGTCAAGGATCGGGTAAGACATCGAGCCCAGTTTAGAGAGAGCAGTCGCGAGAGCGCAGCACGGGAGGGATTCATGATGCACTCTGTAGAGCGGAAGTCAAGGAGCAGGACAGGGTTTAGTGAGCGGTGGAAGTACTGGTGAGAGATTGTAGAAGGATAGCTGGAATGCAAACAGCGTTGCCGTGTTACAACAGAAGAAGCAAACATGGAGAATGGGCGCCAATCAACGGGCCGATTGACTCCCCCATAAGGGCATGGAGGTCAGGAAAAAGAGTCAGAGCTCCTCGAGCTCAAGAGAAGAGTCACAGCAGCTCGGGGCCGGTGACCGGTCAGCTGTAAAGAGAGGTCAGCGGCCGTAGCCGGCGCCCAGCAGTCGGTGGGATTCCGTCTGCGGCCTATCTGGTATGACTCCTGTCTGGCCACAGATGTACGATGTCGGTGTGGTGGGCTCTCCCCTGCTCCACAGCACCCGCCTCGCCGGCAATAACGTTGAGCGCTCCCCGAGGTTCTTAGGTAAGGCCGCTGTCAAATAGGAACCAGATCAAGTAGAGGTTACCCGCTTGGCCCAGCAAAGTCCCTGCCTCCTCCAAAGTCCCCAGTACCCGCTCTCCCACTTCAAGTGCCCCCTACCGAACCCCGGACGCTTCAAGACACCTTCCCCACCATGGGCACAGGCCAGCAGGCCGGACGACGCAGCAGGCTAACCCACCAACGAACAAGCTGGGCCGAAGTCGGGGGTCAGCTTGCCCGTCTCTACGCCAGTAAAAAATTTCCCAATTCCAAACGCCTATTTCCCATCAGTGAAACTCTGTTTTCTTCATCCATCTCTTCCTCCTTCTTCCTTACAATTAACTTGTACGGATACCCTCTCCACTCCCTCCTCCCCCCAACACACAGTCAGAATGGCCTCCCGCAGCTTCTCCAAGGCGCTTCGTTCGCCAATGGCCCGCCAATTGGCGGCCAAGCCTGCCACCCAGCAGCGCACCTTCGTTGCTGCCCGCCAGCTCGTCCGCGCCTCTGCTCAGGTCAACAAGGCCTTCGTCGCTCCTGCCCAGCAGCAGGCTCGCGGTGTCAAGACCATTGACTTCGCCGGCCACAAGGAGGACGTCTACGGTAAGGGAAAACGAAGAGCTGACGAGTCCTTCACGCCTTTCGAATGACTCGCCAGAGAGACAGAGGGACAGACTTGCTGACGTGGATGCCATAGAGCGTGCCGACTGGCCTCAGGAGAAGCTTTTGGTGAGTCACAATCACCCAGATAGCCTTGGGAAGGAGTCAATTGGAACTGACATTCGTTCGTAGGAGTACTTCAAGGACGACACCCTCGCCCTCATCGGCTACGGCTCCCAGGGTCACGGCCAGGGTCTTAACCTTCGTGACAACGGCCTCAACGTCATCATTGGTGTCCGCAAGAACGGCCAGTCCTGGAAGGACGCCCAGCAAGACGGCTGGGTTCCCGGCAAGAACCTTTTCGATGTCGACGAGGCCATCTCCCGCGGTACCATCGTCATGAACCTTCTCTCCGACGCCGCTCAGTCCGAGACCTGGCCCGCCATCAAGCCCCAGCTCGTCAAGGGCAAGGTGCGTCATTCCTCGCGCAATTGAACAGGTTACTTGAGAGGCTTCAAAGCTGACTTTTGAGACAGACCCTTTACTTCTCCCACGGCTTCTCCCCCGTCTTCAAGGACGTCACCCACGTCGACGTCCCCAAGGACATTGACGTCATCCTCGTCGCCCCCAAGGGCTCTGGCCGCACCGTCCGCTCCCTCTTCCGCGAGGGCCGCGGCATCAACTCCTCCTTCGCCGTCTTCCAGGACGTCACTGGCAAGGCCAAGGAGAAGGCCCAGGCTCTCGGTGTCGCCATCGGCTCCGGCTACCTCTACGAGACTACCTTCGAGAAGGAGGTCTACTCCGACCTGTACGGCGAGCGTGGCTGCCTCATGGGCGGTATCCACGGCATGTTCCTCGCCCAGTACGAGGTCCTCCGCGAGCGCGGCCACTCCCCCAGCGAGGCCTTCAACGAGACCGTTGAGGAGGCTACCCAGTCCCTGTACCCCCTGATCGGTGCCAACGGCATGGACTGGATGTACGAGGCCTGCTCCACCACCGCCCGCCGCGGTGCCATCGACTGGTCCCCCAAGTTCAAGGACGCCCTCAAGCCCGTCTTCAACAGCCTGTACGACGCCGTCAAGGATGGATCCGAGACCAAGCGCTCTCTCGAGTACAACTCCCAGAAGGACTACCGCCAGAAGTTCGAGGCTGAGATGGAGGAGATCCGCAACCTTGAGATCTGGAGAGCCGGCAGAGCCGTTCGGTACGTTTACAATACTTCACCTCACTCAACTATGATGAACACCTGGCTAACATTTCTCTTTCCCACAGGTCTCTGCGTCCCGAGAACCAGAAGTAAGCGGTTCGGCGTTTTTTTGCTTTGGGAGGAGATAAAAAATTTACCCCGAATGGCCATATTCTAACCACTGTGCCGGGGACGGGGGACTTTTGTACTTTATACGACCGGATTCTAGGGGATCTGGGCACTGGTTCAAAAGTTTGCATCTTGACTTTTGGGATCATTCAATACCATTTCTTTTGCTGTCCATGAACATCTTGCTTCAATGATCTCGTCTTTCGTCAATCGTCTACCTATGTGATTGTGCAATGTCTGTGCCTGTCCCGGGGATATCGGGTTAAGCAAGGACCCAAGACTGACTCATCAAGCCGTCGATACTTTTCACAGATTGCGCTAGCTACTGCTGCACCCGAAGCAAATTGGCACCCCCACGCCAGCGGCAGTTTTTTTTTTTTCTTTTTTAAACTTTGGGACATTTGCTGACAATGCAGCGGCGGTGTGGTGTTGCATGCGCGTTTAAGGCCATTATCAGTCCAGGTCAGGATTTCGGCCTCCGGTGCTCGCTTAGGTTCGAGAAATAGCTTCGTACGGACCGTACAGGTAAAAGCGTCTCAACTAGGCGTGACCGGCAGTTCGCCGGACGGAAGATGTCAATTTGCCCTTTCCTATTTCGCGGTGGGAAATGATTTGGTCACTGTCTTTCACCCAACGGCGCGTACAACTATGCGAGACGAGCACTACCCTTGCTAAGGCATTCAAGTAATTGATTTACACGTATAAATACTGTCGTCTACCTTGTTGAGTTCGTTAATTCCATTTCGTTCCTGAATTTGCTGCTGCACTTTCACATGCGCTCTCTTTTACCAGTTTCCTGTAGCGCACAGTCAATGCCCTTCGGAAACCCTGAAAGCCGAACGTGAAATGTCGGAGCTAGGTCGCTGCAACCTGCTAAGTCTAGCTAGAGAAGGCCATAAGTGAATTGTATTTGAATGTTATCAGATCATATACCGTTGAGTAAGGCATCACCTACATGGACTTGTGTTGAAGAAAAAACGACTTGAGAATAGAAGGCCAGTCTCACCTTGAGCCATTCGGTGAACTCGGTGAAGGCTGTCGGTGTGTGATTTTGCTGTAGCGACCCTGAGCCCCACCAACCCCCTTTGTCTGTGCATCCTCTCGGTAGTCGTTGCTCTGTCAACAGCAAACAAGCCTGAGCCGCTTCCCACCCCCTTCATCTCACAAGCGAGCCCAAAATGGGGTCCGTTAGACATCCTATCGAAATATCAATCAATTGACGACTTATCTCACCTTAGTCTCCGCGCTTCCAACGCTTGCAAACAACCGAATCTCTCTAGCTTTTTGGAGTTCGCGCACAATGACGCCGTTGTCACCGACAAACGAATCAAGACTGAACATTGCAACGACCCTAACTGAAGACACAACGACCCGCGGATTCTTTGAGCACTGCGAGGTGGTCCACTCCCGTACCGAGACAACCACGAGCGGCGGTAATGAGAGCAGCAGCGACAGCTCCTCCACCACCACAGCCACCATCAACACCACAAGTACCTCTTCGCACTCTATAGACGACAACACCCGAGACCAGGAGAACATGCCACCTTCTCCCTCGGATTCCTCGCCGTCGCCGCCGCCCTCTGCGCCTGCGACGGCAATCAAGCCGCAGCGCCACTCACGCGTTATGTCTGGCACCGCACCCTCACCGCTCAAGCTACTCGCCGGCTCCGAGACATCGGAAAAGCAAGCGCGGAGCCCGCTTCGCAAGACAGTAATCTCGCCCGACGCAGTCAAACGGTTTCCCATTAGAGTCAGCAACCCGTCTGTCGAGTCGTCACGTTCCATTTCTCCTCCGACCGTCTCTCCTCCGGCGCGCGAACGCACCATCAGTCTCGAGGACGCCATGCGCGACAACGAGGGCTTGAAGCACGCCATCCAGATCTTCGAGGACGACGATACTGAGCTTGAGAATGACGAGACCATTGGCGGCGACACGACCACAATGAGCGCGGGCGAGGGCGAGGGGGAGCAGCCCGACCTGGGCCAAGCGGGCTACGAGGACCAGAGCAGTCTCGCCAATCCAGACGAGTCAATGATGAGCGCTTTCAGCACCTTCTCCGCCGTTCCGAACTTGACCATGTTCGCGAAACTTGGCCAGTCTCCGACAAAATACGCGAGCATTGGCGGCATGACCCCGCGAGGGAGGCCAGAGACCGTGCACGAGCAGCAGGAGACTCCGAGGCGGCATTCGGGACAAGACTCTGACGGGAACACCACCAACCTATTGGATTTTACGGCCAGCCAGCGGTTCCCGCACAAATCGCCCTCCAGGCGGGGCAACACTTCACCTTCCCGAGCAAACCCTAATGCCACTCCGGCCCGCCAAATGTCGAACCTGCTCGACTTTGACATTCCGGCCCTGCCCACTCCCCGCAGCATCCCGACCATTACGCCTAGAGAACTTGAAAGCCTCAAGTCGAATTTTCTATCCGAAATTAGCAGCCTCAAGGCCTCGCTGCTTGGCAAGGAGGCCGAGGTGACCTCTCTGAAGACGGCTGTTGGCGATGCGGAAAAACGGGTCGGCGAGAGCTTGGAGCAGGCCCGTGAAGAGCGGACGATGCGAGAGCAGGTCGCCGAGGAGAAGGAGATGTGGGAGAAGAGCAGTCGCGAAATGGAAAAGGTCCTGCGCAGCGTAAAGGAGGAGATTGTCCACACACAGCAGGAGCGTGAGGAGCTCGAATCCAAGCTTGCAGAGAGTGAGGGACGACGCGAGGCCGCCGAGACTATGGCGCAGGAGGCCGAGAGTAAGCTGGCTAGTTTCCGCGCCGGCAAGTCCACTGACGATAAGCCCTCCTCGCCCAGGGGCGGTGCAGCGGCGACCTCAAAAGAGGTTGAGATTGCAGTGGAGCGCGTGGCCCGCGAGCTGCACGCTCTCTACAAGGGGAAGCACGAGACCAAGGTTGCGGCGCTCAAGAAGAGCTACGAGACCCGCTGGGAGAAGAAGGTGCGCGAGCTGGAGGTTAGGATCGAGGAGCTCACCGACGAGAACGATAAGATTCGCCGCGACAACACCATCACCCGTGTCGATCCCGCCCAGGTCGCCGCCGAGGAGGAGTTCAAGGCCCGGGCCGTCCGCGACTCAGCTCACATCAAGGAGCTCAGTGCCGACGTCCACAGGCTCGAAGCCGTCGTCATGTCGGTCAAGAGGGACAACTCGGAGCTCCGCGACCTCCTGGCCCAGGAGCGCGTCGAGAAGGGCGAGCTGGTCCAGCTCGCCGAGGAGATGATGGCGATCCAGAACGCCGCCCCCCCGCCAACCCCGGCGCCTAAGCCGGCTCCGACGCCCGTTGCCTCGCGGACACCCGGTCCTCCGGTTAGAAGCCACACGGAGAACAACTTCCGCAGCAGCATCGGCCGCAGCTCGGGCCTTAAGGCGCCCGGATCCATCGCCGCTCGCGGGTCCCTCCACGAACGTAACGGCAGCGCCGGTCCGGCTACCAAGGGCCTGCCGAGACCAAGACCGATGAGCGAGTTCGGACCCCGGAGCGGTATCATGAGCTCGATCGAAAAGATGGGCAACTACCGCGGACGCGGGGACTAGAAAGCCCAGTCGTCTTGATGAGAACGGCCTCCTTTTGATCGCTCGGTTACCACACTGACCGGATTTCTTTTCCTTAATTTTTAACTACCTACGAAACGAACGAAACCAAACGATGAACGGAATAAAGCATTGAAGTATCGGGTGCAGAGAGAGAGACAGCAACTGTCATAGGAGGAAGGACGAGAACAGAAGATGATGAAGAAGAAGAAGAAGAAGAGCAGCATTGACGTAACGAACTGGCGTCTACGGGGTCCTGTTTTCCGGGCTTTTTTGCTTTGGTATTTCCATGGTACGGACAACAGGGCTTTTGTTTATTCGTCCCACCCACCCCCCATGACACTGATATGAATAAGGGAAAAGGGAAACGAAACGAAGGTGTGGCGTTTTTGTTTATCTTGGTTGGTCCTGTTGTTGAATGGGCGACAACCAAACACCCCTTTTCATGTTGGAGCGAAAGCTGTTTCCATACCTATTGGGGCCCCCCCGAGTCATCCCGCTCAAGGTTTTTGGGCTACACTTGACGTTTGGAACCAATAACAAACCCCAAAACCCCCCCCTTTCTACCATAACTCTTTGAATTGGTAATGTTCAGTTTTTATTGCACATAGTCAATTTTTTTTTTACCCCTTCTCGTGTGTTTGTGCGGTGTGACTGTTGGTGTGATTGTGAGTGTGAGCGAATCATGTCTTTCTGGCTATTGCCTCATGTCGGGTCTGGCGCTCGCGGTGGAGCTTTGAGTCCCTGTCTGTCTGTTACGATACGTGAAGCCGATATGATGTTATATTTTCCTTTGAGACTGTTGCTTCGTTGGCGCGCTTGTGGGATGATGACGACGATTTAAGACAATCCATGGCGTGTATGGTTTGCCTGGATTCAGACATATCGGACTTTTTCGGGAGAAGAGGTTCGGCTTGAACATTGTCGCTAGGTGTGAGTCGGAGGGGTTCCTTTGGATCGGTAGTTGAGCGGAAATCAATACTATTCATTCAGACAGGTATGTGTGTGTGTGTGTGTCCTTGGTGTCCTTTGAGATGTTGCGGTTTTGAATCTGGGTCTATCGGTATGTGATGTGAGCTTAGTTCCGCGTGAGGCTGCTTAGGTATGGGGATAGGCAGCAACTGGGAGTATCTTCATGGCTGGTAAAGATGAGAGAGGAGGAGGGGGAGAGGAAGCGGGGGTGCAACAGCGTTGTGAGATTTTCGTCCATCTGTCTGTCTGCCCAGTCGAATGTCCACCCGAGCATCAGGAGTCATAATGTTGACTTGACCAGCCACACGTTACACACGTTACACACGTATGCAGGCCGTCGTATGTGTTCAAAGGGCCTCCACGTCGACATTAACTGACTTCATCAGAAAGCAGCCGACATGACTAGGCAATATGACTGAATCCCAGACAAATGGTTTATTTAGTCTTTATCATTCGAAAGAAGCATCCACTGCAT